ACATTGCTGAGAACCTGACACAGCTGATACAATTTCGAGATGGCCTCGGAAAGGAAACAATTGGGCTGCAGAGAAGCCACAAAGTCTTCAAGTCGCGCGAGATCATCCCAGGATGACAAAGCAATCGCGTGGCAGAAGATCACTATAAATGGAACAAAAGGTGCATAGAGAATGGTCCTGGAGGGGATGTTAGAGATATAGCGGTGTGCCAAGCGTCTGCAGCTTACCAGTGGAAGTACGCGGCCTTGATATGCTCTGTCATCTCCTTCACTTCCGCCATACAGTCCTGATGTACTTCGAGAGCGGACCTAGCCGTTTCTATGCATTCGTGGATGAATGTGCCCTGTGTGCCTTGTGGAGGAATGGCGCGGTATATCAACGTTAGAACTGACAAGCGGGCAACCTTGTCTGATTTGAAGAAGATCTGATCGACCTGGGATCGTTTTTTATCGAAATGAATACCCTAGACTATGTTAGAGTATTACTGGCTATGTCACCAACGGTGCTTACCTCGAATGGCTCCATAACCACTTGCTGCATCTCAGAGGCCAGCTGGCGAGCATGAGCGACCCGCTCACTTTCCGGCCGTGCCAAAGCTGCAGGGCTGTAAAGTAATTCGTACACCTTTCCCTGTATTGTCGCAAATCGGACCCATAACAAGTAGATTTTGTCAAATGGCTCATCCAGTCCGGTCGTATCGATGTTTACTAGGGATGTGACGTCGTAATCTTGAATGGTTGACGCGCGTCCCAGACGCAGGGAAACCGCTTTGTCCAAAACGTAGACCGACCAGAATAGTGTATTTCCAAGGGATGGCTTATTGCCGCTGTCTGAAGGGTTTGATCGATGATATCCGAGTGTTTGGCATAAGCGGAAGGCCGCTGAAGTTAACGTCATTGCGAACGACGGCTTTGACATCTCGATTGCGTAGACGGCCTTGACCCTGTCAGCAGACTTTGAAATTTTCCGGCGGTGACATAGCTTACTCCTAGTGCGAGTGCTTCGATATTTTCATCGTTCGCAGGCATCAGAAGGCTCAAGCTCCCCAAAGCAGTTTCAAGGTTGACCAGACACAGCTTCAGGTATTTATCGTACTCCTCTCTAGTCTGCGAATCCTTTGTGATAGCGACAACATCACTGATCAGGTAGAGAAGAGCGCCGTTAACTATAATAAAAGTTGCATCGGAGTATTCCTCCGTGGAGAAGTAGATCTGGCGGCATTTCTCAACTAGCCGTCGGGGCGACAGGAAAGGTAGGTATGCTTGCAGGGTACTCGGTTGCTCTGGTAGTATGTTAGGAAGCTACAACAAGAACATATTAAGTCTCAGGGACTACCTTGGCATTTGCGCAAAAGTGCCAGAACTATCGGCGCTGGAGGCATGGTAAGCTCTCGCAATCCCGAGCCTGGAATCGCCCTCTGATTCGGAAACCGCACTTGGCGGGAGGGAGATTGTGCCTGGTGGTCCTGCATATCAACGATCTGCTTCAAGGACGCCAGCGCGGTGCTTATTTTGGGAGTCGACATCTGGAGTGCACTGCGGGAGACGGCCGTCTCTAGAAATTCTCTGGCGTAAGCAGAATGAGCAGCGAGAGAGGAATTGCCCTCGAAAGCAGGAGTAGACTCGTGCTGATCCAGAGTTGCAGTAGCACTAGTGTAATTGGTCGTAGTGGATGGACTCAGCTGGCTTGACAGTGGAGTAGAATGATGGCATTGTTCCGAAGGGCCCTTGGCGTGCGCTCTGAGTTCCAAAAGGGTACGCTCGATGTTGCCCAGACGTTCTTCGATGAGGTCAATCTTCCTCTCACTAGACTGTGTCAGTTGAACTCGATAAGCAGCCTCCTAATTATACGTACTACTGGCTTGAGATAAGAACACGCTTCTTTGGCTCTGGGGGCTTCTGGCCAGCACCAGTTGAGCGGCAGATGATTTGGGAACTGCGGCAATTGGAGCAGGGAGACCGCTTGTCACAGCGTATCTAATGGTGGCACCAAAATATGTGAGTGTCCTTCCTAAATGGGATAACCCACTTCATTATTGATAGATTGCAGCAGTTGCATACCTTTCGGAGGCGGCATTGATCGCACTGGCATCCGTCAGCAATTGCGGACTGTAGTATGGGTATGCAGTGCCACTCGAACTTACCGCACGCCTGACAACAGGCTCCTTCTCACTCTCGGGTCCCTCGGGCTCCATGTAGTCAAGCTTTCCAAGATAACCGGTCCCCGATAGCGCCGCTTATTACTTTTTCCAACAGAGCAGACTGCAGAGATTGTGGGTGTTGGGGACGGTGAGGGCGAGTTGGTTGCAGGAAGTGTGAGACTGGCGGATCCCGCGGAGGCCGAGACTGTGGACCGAACTTTGATTGCTTGCCTCTTCCTCTCATCCACAAAGTATCAGTGTCCTGCTGTCAGGGTTCAACCTGGTGCGCTTCAGGCAGTGGATTCTTCGATTATCCGGTAACAGACTAGTCTTATAAGCTTATAGGAAGCCAGATCCTTCCACCTGTGTAATGCTCTATTTTAGGCAGCTACTTATGTTAAAATAGCTACCAAGGCTACCAATGATATAAAGTTAAGAATTATCAGACTTTAATTATAATATTATCGCTTATTATTATATTTATGATTTTTCAAATTATCACTCGCGATTTTCTTTTTCTTTCCTTTTTTCCCCTTTTCCACCTCCTGACCACACTCTGGATTGGTATTCGATCACGTGACTTATAACCATTCTGGGCGTTCCTTTCACCATTTGCTCCTGAACCAAGGTGAAGAATTTGTACTAGTGATTTTATAGTATTCTAGATCTACAAGTCTCTCATTCAAATAGTTGTTCTCACATATAGCCACAAGTACTTGGACAAAGCTCAAAAGTCCTTATGAAAGAGCTGAACATATATCTCTAAGTATGATACTATCTATTATTTGACAAATCCAAAGGCTGGCAATCAAAGTCTATTCTAAGCGCCGATAGTCTCTATATACATTTCACTGAATCTAAGTACTCATGGAAATATACTAATAACAGCCAACTTTCAATCTTTGACACAGTATCGGCAACCAATCGGTCGTAATATGTGCCCAGAGGAAGAAACATGGACTGATGGGCAGCGATTTCGTCCATACCCTCCATCCGTAGCGGAACCCAGAGCTGCTCTCGGCGGGCTGTTTCTGGAACATAGCAGAATAGTCGTCCCGGTGGTCTGAGACGAGAACCCTCGGGCTTATTTCTCTGCTCGCCTGAATCACATGAACTTGATGATGACCGTGTATCAATCCTGGCGGAAGAGAATTTCGTGTCTAGAAGTGAGTCAGACGAGCGATTGTCTGCCACCTTTCCTCGTATATCAGCTAGAATATCAGGCAGCACCAACGCAGAGACCCCGTCTTCAACATGATAATTATGTATTTGCGACGCTCTGTGCCCCAAGACCATCTTGTTTCCGTGACCATTACCGTTGGTGGCTTGGCTTTGTGGACAGGCAGTCGTGTAATAATTAACAAAGCGGACCCTCCCACCAGATTCATCGTGTTTTGCCCAACGACAGAGTTTCTTGTGTCGTCTGACAAGCCCAAAGTAGTCATTCAGACATCCGACATGATCGTAGTATGAGAAAACATACTGAAGAGCAGAACGAGATATATGACCCGAATGTTTTGCAAGGAAATGGCGCGCTCCATCCCATCCACTCCATTGGGTCCTGTCGACATCGATGGTCAAGTTTGGATCGAACGTCGGATCGTCGTTTGCTATTCGGCTGTTTGTGGTGCTCTGAGATGTGCGCCGGCTCTCATTCTTTGCTTTCCGGCCAAGTACCCTGCCGGCTGCTGTTGCAATGACGCGCGGATGAAGTCCAAGAAAAGGCGTATCAAAGGCCATCAGGCCAACAATCCTACTGTTCGGAACGTGGCCAGCGGTTGTGTAAGATTCGGCAAGTGCAACGTCTGCTGCGATGAGGCCTCCTATACTGTGACCGAGAAGTATAACATCCAAATCTGGAGCCATGTGTGGCGATAACCTGGGACAAAATGAATGCTCAATATAGAGAGCTAATTGTGTTGCGGCTTGAGGTAATTGCCTACCATCGGCTGATATCGTCGCAGGCAACACGTATAGGTCCTCTGGTTTTATAGCGGGGATATATCTTGGTGTATGTGATATGGTTTTGAGCCAATGAGACCTTAAGGAGATTGTGGACTTCCCTAGGGAAGTTACAAAAGCTCTCCTCTGAGCCTAGAAAGCCATGGATGTATATCAGGAGTACCCTGCGCTTTCCTTCATGTCTTGGTAATTCATCGGGATTATAAGAAGCGTTCCGCCATGAGTCGAGAGCAAAGTTGTCAGAGGTGTGTTCTTTCATTGTTGACCCTGAAGACCGTTCTCAGTAGAATATCCATCATGAATGAATTTGTGCTGACACAAGAAGTAGCGGCTGTGTGTAAGCAATGAGTTGCTCTGCAGTAGGTCCCAAAATGTTTAAGTGATATTCACAAGTAGCAGATCCTACATGTCCGCCTGCGGCTCTATTCTTAGAATAAATCATGGGAGCGAATACGAGGTGGTAATTAGGGTCTTTTCTTCCCCTTTATTTTTCTTGCTGTTGCAGAAGAATAGAAGGGAATGGAAATATACGCCAAGGCGTAGATCAATGACGATTGGTAGCCTCCAGACCCACTCGTATTCGTTTAGATATTTAGACGTTTTCGATCAGCCACAGGCAAATGCATTTTTTCTGTGCTTTCACTGGCTACCCAGCGGTCGAATGTGTCTGGTACAGTTTCGAATGTGTTGATTCCGGTAGCCTAAAGTACGTTATGCTTAGGATCCACAGGGTTATCTAAAGTAAATTGTCAGGCTCTATGATCCATTCACTGGTTCTAGTTATTAAAGAGTTGTTAAAACGAATAAAACGTGGTAATTAAGTCCTGCTTCCAGAACGAATACCGATAAGAACCCTCAACCTCTGCGCCAACGAAACCCTGGTACTGAAATATCACTTTCAGTTATTCTTCGTACTCCTCAATTTCTGCCGAAAAGTGGCTACGATATTGTCCGTCGCTGTATACTGGCCGCTCTCCAGTAACCACGTTCCCTCACTGTGGCGCTGTTGGGCGATGAGCTTTCTAATCCGCGACTGACCTGACGACCGTAAACTCTGCGCGATACCAGCAGTAGAGTATGCCATGAGGCCAAACATAGCGGAGCCGGATTTGGCTGCCATATTAGTTACCCCTTTGCCAACTCCTTTGATCGCACCTTTCGCACCCTCTTTTTGAAGACCCTGGTATGGCTTAACAACGATGTCGCTAACCGCCTCCGCCATTCCCCATGCAAATCCTTTCCCAGCAACAGCAAACCCACTCTTGATGTCAGTAACTGGACCGTGATCTCGAGGCTCTTCACCATACAGCCGAGGGACGTTGCGCAGCCCTTCAGCCAAAGCAAGGGGAAAGTAAACAGTCGTGCCCTTAATCATGGCAGGACCAACGCTGCCCAAACTTTTGGCAGACGCAGCTGCCATCCTACCAAAAAGCTTTCTTTTGCCAGTACCCGATCGCTTTTGCGCGTCTGAATCCGCAGACACCGTAGAGTTGTTGCTACTGGAAATACTCATACCGCGCGGCTCCTTCTCGTGATCTGTCGAAACAGTATGGACAGATAGATTGTCTGAAAGGTTTTCGACGGAGAGGTTGGTCCTGCTGCTTGAGAGTTGATCTTCGCGCTCCTCCTTGAACTTGTGATACTCCAGAGCAGGCTTGTAGAAGGCTCCAAAAATAGAGTCGGCGACATCGGTGGCTGTTCCAACCACTGCAGACGCTCCTCCCGTGACGGGATCCCATCGGCGATTTTCAATGAAGATTGGGCGGATCGCATGCCTATAAAAGGAAGTTTCATCAGAAGCTGAACGCAGTCAAACGGAAAGCAATATCCTCGAGGTTGTCAATCTTTTGTACGTACATCGTCAAGCTATTTGCATCAATGGATCCATCGGCGATTAGTACCTCTGCGGCAATCTTTGACAGCTTGAATTTCCTACGTTTTTGGCGGAGCGACCACACTGCAGGTAGACCAGGATCTAGATCACACTGCAGACATTCAAGTGGGAGGTTCCGGTGAAATGAGGCGACTGCGGCCTTTACACCTGCTTCGGACTGCATTTTGGCAGCTATAGCAACGGCTGACATGCGCGCTTGCTCGCTAAGGCAGTATCGAATCCCTTCGGCCAGCCTATCGACTGTAAATTCTTTATGTGGAATAGGAGTAGGACCAGCGCCCGCTGCAGCGACCATATCTCCCCAGAAGGGCTGACTATGGGGATTGTTAGCAAAAGATGAAACCGCGGTATATAGTCTTCCATAACCACTCACTCTCCAAAGAAGGGTACAACGATTGTGGGCTTGGATTTTCGTAACCCGCAAGCGGTCGTGCCCGCACCTCCATGATGCACAACAGCCGCCACGCGGTCAAACAGCCATTCGTGAGGGCAATCCCCGATGAAATAAATGTTATCATCGTGCATCCCGCCTAAGTTGGACCAGCCTTTGGAAACAATAGCCCGTACTCCTGTTGCACGTACAGCGTTGAGGATAATAGCGGTGATGCTTTCTGGGTCCTCCAATACAATACTACCGAACCCGATATAAATTGGGGGTGGACCAGCAGCAAGAAAGGCCAGCAAGTCAGCCGGGGGATCATATCTCGGTGGATCCCGGAAGAAGAAACCACAGACGTCTTTGGAGGGGGAGGGGAACGCTGTTAGCATAAGATTGCATTAGATATGGCGGATATAGTGACGACTCACCTATATGAGAAGGCCAATCTGACGGCCTGGGAATGAGAGCCGGGGACCAGCAGTATGTGAAAGGTATCTTCAAGATTTCTGCAAGACGAGGCCCTTCGAACATAGCTACTTCGTCCAAACAAAGCTCTTTTCGCCATTGATTGATCACATCGCCCACCCTAATCGCGTCAGTATACATAAGTAGACTCTATGTTTTGGTAGAACTCCCTACCCTTGCCAAGTCAGCCAGTTAACCACGGCGTAAGAGACAAAATTCTTGAACCCTTGGTCTTCGTCACCACTACCAGTTACATTTGCCAGGGGGTGAGGAAAGGCTTTCGTGCTGGTCCAGGGCATAGTGAACATCAAATGTACGGGAATACTTAAAGCCTGGGCGCAGTGGATGTGAGCAAAGCTGGGAGGGTTGGCGATGATGGCATAAGCTACGAACGGCCGCTGGGTCGCCATATCAGGCTCGATACACGATTGCCAGCACCCGTCCAACATTTTCCGGATCATGGCTCGCTTGCGCCCAATTTCACCTGCCTGTAAGCTCCGCATACTGGGAATGAGACCGGGATTCTTAACCATGTAGGCCATCAGCTCCTCCGGATCGCCCCCGATAGGATAAAATTCCAGCCCTGAGCCCCGGACGAAATCTTCGAATACATCATGAGTAGCCAGTCTCACCCGATGTCCATATCGCTGCAGTTCGTTTCCAAGGGCAATGAATGGTTGCACATCCCCTCGACTGCCTACCACCTGGATCAGAATATTCAACTTTACCTTCCAGGAGCTTTCTAGGTATGCCGGCGGAGAGCCAAGAATGAAGTCATTGTCATTGACGGCTTGCGGTTCTATCTCGGAATACTCGGGCGGTGGTGTCGTAGGTCGTGGTGAATAGTGAGAAGTGTACAACTTAGAGAATCGCCGTACCAGCGTAGTGTTGTAGTCAATATCAACGCGCCCGTCATCTGCAAATGTAATCAGCCCCGTATCCCTCAATGGCTTGGGTGGAACCCTCCAGTGACGGTTGACGAGGAATGCATACTGGTTATTTTGATGCCGCTTTTGCGGTCGGCAGCAATTGGCGTAGGGGGAATGATGACTGGATCACCTGGTAACTCGAATACCCCGGGATGGCTGCTGCTGGCCATGGTAGGGGTCATGACTGAATCCCCCGGCAGCTCGAATACCTCCGCATTTCTGTTGCTAGCCATGGACTGAGCTGAGACGCAGCGAATGAAGGAAGACGCAGTGTAATCCACAGAATCTTAGAGTACTCGGAGGACAATGGTGTAAAGATCAAAGATTTACATATAGACTCCTCTGGAAACTATGGTAAGGGGTCGGCGAGAGACAGGGCCCTAAACCAGAGTGTAGATCAGAGAAAGTGGCGTGCCCTGGAACTTAGCAAGAACACATCCTTGGGTAAGGATGTGCCAAGTACCAACCCAGATATACGAAAACGAGCGGGGCCCCAACAGGACGATCGTATCGGAAAGCCGGTTCACACCAGTGATGCTCACTGTAGGACTATTTAGTGTTGAGAGATCATGTCTCGCAGTTGTATCATGGCCATTATCTCCGGTCGACTGGCGGTATGATATTAGATATATCTGTAAATTCATTGTTATTCCTGGTGGGGAGGTTTCTCGTTACAGCCACACAAGGTCAATTTCCACAAGTTTTTGCCACTATGACAAAGCTATGGACAGGCTTTAAGAGGGTCAAAGGTAAGAAGCGCACACAGGTGCGAATCATCAGGTTGTATCACCTGCTGAATTGGTTTGCCTTCATCCAAAATTCTACATAAAAGCTCTTATCTAATTCCAAAGTCTCGAAAGCAGGGCAGTCCTCCGTTCGTATTCGTATAGATGGATCCCGCGGATGAATGGGTCGTGGGAGTTAATCGCCGAACCCCTATTGCAAAGTGGGATCTCTAAATGTTTATTGATCATAATCTTTCGATAGTCTCATGCCACCAGCTGATTCCTGCTGCTGTAAAAGTAGTTCCCCTGACCTCTCAAGTGGCAGGCGAAGAGTTGGTGGGAGGAGGGCGAACAACAGTGGTGGCCAATATGGGACATGTTCCGTTCCCTAGACGTTTCTCCTCGATAGTTCGTATTCAGAGATCATGTCCGAATTCCGGAACTACAAAACCAAACAAGCTTTGTATATTGAAGGATGCCGCCATCATGTTCTCGGGCATGCTGCCATGCACCGTGGTGTCCGCCGTCACAGGGTAGTGAAGATAGTCACTTGGATCCCAAAACTCCATAATGTCATCTTGCAAGCGGACATCATTAATACTGCTGGGGTTGTTTGTTTGAGCCAACTGCCCAGAATCCTAGCTAAGATTAGAAAAGAAACTATAATAAAAAACCCGATACTCAAGACTTACCTCGAAAGCTAATGTAGATTCAACGTTAGAGGAGCCTATTTCGCACGATTCTGCACCTCTTTCCTCGTCTTCCCTTTCCTGCACCTCTGCCTCTTCTTGTTGCTGGTGCTGAGGTTGGTTTCTGCCATAATCCCTGATATACTGTCTTGCGATGTGAGCGAATTCGGTCAGAAGCGACGCGGGCACAAAACCCCCAGACTTGTACTCCAGTAGACTAAAATGCCCAGCTGCGACATCCAGCAGTGAGAGATTGTTGAGGGTTTCCGGATGCATCGGGTTGTGGATGACAAAGTCAAATAGAATGAATAATGCTCCAAGTGGTAGAATGGCCAGAATGCTGTCTCAAAAGTTAGCCTTTCGCACAGAGACCACGTTGATATCACTTGACTCAGCCTGAAAAGAGGTGTTCTTGCTTACAAAAGCGGCGTATAGGCAGCTATGTCGATGTTCTTGCTGTCCTCCACAACGGCTCTTGCTGTATCCATCAGCAGTCGCCTGGTCTTCTCCTGCAATGGAGACTGATCTTGTCGACCTATATAAATCTTAAGTCTTGCCAGAGCGATGATCAAACCATAGTACGAGAACTTGGTTCGGAGTACAACCGTCTTAAAACTCGGCTGAGTGAAGGAAGATGAAGAACAGGGGGCCACGTGCGGCTTGTGAGACTGAGACAGCCTACCAGGACGATAGTGCTCTGGTAGTGCGGATCGCCATCGCTCCAACCGAGCTTCAATATTCTGGATCGCCGCATAATACGACTCTGGAGGTTGAATTGCAGCACTCACTGAAAAGAGGGAGGTATATGCAAGTGAGAGAATTCTCCCGAAGCTGATGGCCGATAAGAACCAGTTATGTCCTTCAAAGACGGATTCTGGGACATCGGGGACAGGACAGCCGATGTCATGGTCGGGAATCATCTGGTATGAGATAAGTCGATGCTCACTCCGCCTGTCCCAAAATGAAGCCAAGAGTTTGATATTATAAGATTTGGTCACATACCGAGCCTTTGTGGTTCTGAAAGCACATTCCATTCTCCATGTAGTAGATTACCCAGAAGGTCCTATGACAGGTGTCTTGTACCGCTGGTCCCCGTTGCTCAGTGCTCGATGGTATCCAAGGCTTTGAGCCATTCGGGCAGCTTCCATCAGCAAGATTTCGTCGATCTGAAGACAGCAAGTAGTCGTGGCGAAGATTGACTAGATAGATCGAATCAATGAATCAGTTACTCCCAGGCTTTTTATATCATTTGTCCTCTTTCGGCGCGGGGTATTTCTCATCTCAGTGACATCGCCTTACCATGGCAACCAAAGCCTAATTCAATCTTATCAGTTAAGTCCACTCTATTGCCACAATATCGACGTACTTGAAGACTCATTAAGGCCTCCCTGGGAATCAATATATCCGACACGAGACCCAAAGAAACTTGGAAAAGCTTCCACGCCCTGCCATTACCTGGGTCAAAGGCCCCGCCTTCATGGTACTGGCATCCTAGAGCCAATATTGTGTGATACAGAGCCGAGAAAGCACAGCTGGATGCCAGAGTTTCAGACAGGTTGGGCCCGAACACCTTATCCTCGAACTTTTGACGATCGAGGAAAGGGTAAATCGGATGCAGTTGATGGAAGTAAGCTGTGCAGTTGAGACACCAGTTTGTTAATGAAGGAAGAGAAGGCTAAACTGGGGTATACGTGGAAGGACACCAAAGAAGACCAAATGAGAAAGGGAAAACACACTATTGACGTAGAGCCTGACATTTTCCAGCGAAACGTCCTCTGTATCAGACGGCTTTCCAAAAGTGATGTGTGAAATCGAGGACGGACCCTCGGCAAGAAGTCGCGATCGAATGACGGATTCGATGTTCTCAACCAGCTCCCTGAGTCGGTCATTGCCCAACCGGTGCGACAGAGAGTTTATTCGGTGCTCCGTGAAGAAGGCAAGGCTGGAACTAGTCACTTGAAGAAAGAGATTCAGAGAGGCCGTGAATGAAATATAGAGTACAGCGGCAGCATACCATCATGATCGGACGCCTGGGAATAATAGTCAGTTCAAACTCTATAGAGATGGTACTCCGTAACTGACCCTTAGCAAAGCAAAGTTATCCCTCAGAATGCTACTGCGACCTTTATTTTCCAATATCTGGTCCAGAAACAGAGATGAAAGAGTCGGTTGAATGCAGGCTTCTTCGGCCCAGGAGTTGACGAGCGGTATGTGGTGTCGACTGGTTGTATGATACCCTTAATCTTTTAGCGCCCAGATTATGCATGTGCAAGAGACGAGAAATAGTACTGGCGAATACCTACTGCTGGTCTGCGGTGCTTTTGATCTCAGCTTACGTTTGGTCTGGGTGAAATGACAGGTCTCGTTGCGTTTCTAGATCGATAACCCCTATTAGGACCATCGGACCAATAAAGATATCCACTTAAATGATCAATGAACATCTTACAATACAGTGGATGCATCTCGAGCGTTGCTGGGGATCCACTAGAATCGAAATTATTACATTCCGCTTGTTCCCCAGAGCAAGAGGGTTCGGAGGAAAACGTACTAATGCAGCGAACTTTCCGGTTCCTGCACTGGTCACAGGCTTTGCAGGTCTTCGCCTCAGTCAATCGGCCCTTCTTCTGATCGGTCGCCATTTCGGGCGATGAAGATTCCCGCAAACTGGAAGTCGCTCGGCCCTGGGTAAATTGCTCGGACATCATGCTATCGTATCTGGCATCATGATCTCGGGGTGACAAGGAGAGAAGAGGAAGGAACTCGGTACTTGCTTTCCTTAAAATAAAGTCTCGGTCTTCGGTGAGACACACTGCGCCACAACACTAGGGTTCCTTCGGAAGCTTCACTCCACCTGCCCAATGCTAATTTGATCGCCCGTGCCGTTTGCAATTCCATCTACCACGAGAACCACGGAAATCAACTCGCACATAGTTGGTCTCCCTCTGCCTTGAAGCTGAACGAGCCTGCTTTTACATGAAAAAAAAAAATAACAAGAATATTTATCTTCAGCTGGAATAAAGGGATGATCGGTCTCACTCGAAAATTGCTACCACTCGTCGGTTAATGAGATGTGCAGAAGCGCCATATATTAGGATCAGCTGTTACAGCCCCGTGTTAAGTTCAACTCTGCACAAGCTCGACGAGAAATGTCGCAAATGCATCTAGAGTAGAACACATAATAACACACACTCATACATCTATAATTAGGTTTTGGCTGGCGCCTTGACTTTCAAGTACTCAAGGCACTGTAGGCTTGATGAGGATAGTTAGCATACAAACACTCGTCTGCACCACCTTTCAGATAGGATAGCTGCGTGGCTCTATTCGGCTTCATCACTCTCCTTCTGTTCACCATCACTACTTCCTTTGCTAGTCCTATCAGATCCTTCTTCATTCCAGTTTGACAGATATGCATGTTCAGGTAACTCATTTCACGGATTTCAAGTAGTGGTGCAGGGGTTCCAATACCAGCTGATAGTGGCTTGTTGGAACACATAGTCAGGAATGAAGGTGGCTACTATGCCTAGGAGTATCAATTGCATGATATATTGATTGGCTGACATATTAAGATACATATGTTTCGATTACTGTTAACATTTGAAACAAATTAAGGCTAGCCTTTCCTAAGTTCCACCGTTGAAATGCACTATTCAGCACAGTATGTCCAAGCACGGATGCCAATAGGGTTCTGTGTATGTTCTCCATGACAGTGATGTCAACCCTTGCTCCTTCTTGGCACGCGAACTAGCTTATACACAGCTAAAGCCGCCACGGCATTAAACACAACATAGACCAGAACAAGGGCGAAATTCCTCCAGCGATCCTCGAACCGAATATTGACTGTAGAGAGATAATCATTCGTGCTGCTCAACGGACAAAACTGACAATGCTCGGTGTTATGTGGGTCGACCAAGTATCCGCCGGACAACGAGATATAAGACGCCATGTACGAGCCACATGACTGACCTTCTGGCAGGAGAAACCTAACATATTCATTGGGTGCACATTCGATCGCCGCGTTCGCTACACCGGTCGAAAGAAGACCTGAAGCGAGCCAGGTAAACGGAGAGACATAGTACATGAATATCCAGAAGCCGGGTAACGAGGACTTTTTGACGAGAATATTATTTTCGTGGTAGTGGTGAGTTGGATGATGTTATCACAAGGAGCAAATAATGCTCATATAGTGTCTAGCACAGGGGCAGGAGGCAAGAAATATTAAATCCACTTACCCACAGAACGTCATGCAGAGCATGTAGCATATATTCCCAACACTGCTAGCAGAATCGGCACTATCCATTCCAGCGATAAGGGTATGCGTAAAGGTACTAGTGAACATCATGAAGGCCCAGATGAACAGGAACATTAGGCAGCCGCGCAGGGCGACTTCGTGGGTGGAGGTAGCGTTCTGATACAGTCCGATAGGATAGTACCAGCAAAAGTAGGCCACCACTGCCATCAACGTGTTCCAGAAAATCTCGATCGCGAAGTTGCTCAGCATCAAGACTGTGTCATAAGTTAGCCCAGTCGGTATGTGTGAGCCTATCCTGTTTGTATTGAATCACACTACGTGCCCTACCTTTCCAGTCATACATTTTGGAGGGCCTCTCACGCGCCTCATAAACATCTCGCTGATCGATGAACTGAGGCATAATCTGCTCGCTGAGTTGCCCGAACATGCTCAATAACATCATCACTGCGTACATCTGGTTCTGGAGCCCCTGGATGGTGTTCGGCGCGTTGTAAAAGCTGAAGCCGATGAATAAACTCTGGAGATTTTCAGTTAAATTGCACAGGCAGATAGTGTATAAGACAGCTTTGCTTAGTGCAAGTACTTACCGATCCCACGGTGAGGCAGACTTTGGAATATATATACGACGGACTTCGCCAGTACTGGCCTGCGATACGTTTCTGAACGAGCCACCACTGCTGCAGAAAAGACGAAGCATAAGCCCTATTGCTTGGCTGTCTCAACGTCTGCATATGAGGTGTTACGCTCATGGTAGTCCTAGATTCTCGGAGCTTTTGCAATTTCGCTCGAACTGATTGGTGCTTAGGCGAGTCTCGCCAGACCTTCGGCCAATCGACAGTGGTATCTGATCCCGGTGCGGCCCCAATCACTTCCAACATCCATTCAGCTGGATTGGCGCCTGGAGGACACTGTGTTCCTCCGTTGGTCTCCAAGTATCGGATGAGGGTAGCCAAATTCTGCCCAATTTCTGCCAAGAATAATGATTTCTACCGTTAGCACATGCTTGTCTGTAGGCGCGGAGGGACGAACCTCCAAAGTACACAGTTTTGCCGCCTTTTGCTAGAAGCAGCAGATTGTCAAACTGCTGGAACAAGATAGCTGACGGCTGGTGAATGGTGCAGAGAATGGCCTGGCCACTATGTGCAAGTCGTTTCAGGAGCTGGCAAATAGTCCACGATGTCTGTGAGTCCAGTCCAGAGGTCGGTTCATCCAAGAAAAGAAGCAATTCAGGCTTTGCAGCCAATTCAATACCAATGGTAAGACGTCTGCGCTGTTCGATGTTCAGCCCTTCACCGGGGATACCAACAATGGCATCCGCATACTCTTCCATCTCAAGGAGCCTGATCACTTCCCCCCCATGGGCGAGCTTCTCCTCCCGTGGCACGTCAGAAGGCTGCCGGAGGAGTGCACTAAATTCAAGTGACTCTCGCACACAGCATGTTGAGAGATGTACATCTTGCTGTTGCACATAGCCTGTTTTGCGCTGGAAGGAAGTATCACTTTGCGCACCGTTGACGAGCATGTCGCCCGTAACGACCCCAGTAGTAACCCGTTTGGCAAGGACGTTAAGTAGGGTCGTTTTTCCGACACCAGAAACACCCTAGGATTGGTCTTGTGTTAGGGTTTTCCAGGCACTGGTATTATTTGTGAGATCAATTTACATACCATCAAGGCAGTCAAAGTTCCAGGTTGAACCCATCCGTCGACATGGTCCAGGATCCGCCGATCCTCTTTTTTATTCTTGATATCGTAGCATACGCCTTGCCAGTGGAAAATGTGGCTTTTAGCAGGCAGAGTGTCCGTGCTTTGGATGCCGTCTAACTGCACCATCTTGATCCCGGGTGGCCGGGGCGCTTCTTCGTCATCACTCGCCATGCGCCACGTAGACTTCTTCTTGACAAGATGGCTACGGCGAAAGATGAGTACTTCACCCCTACTCTTAGCCATACTGAGCACCTCAGTCGCCACCAGGTATGCGGTTGTGAAGATGAACCAAAATGCAATCAAAACCCCCACGTTCCTGTAAGACGTCAGCCACATTCTCCTATTTAAGCGACCTAGCTTCCGGGTGATAATTGGAGCAGTTTACCTCCACTTGTTGGATTGGTTGTAATCGAATTTGTCGTTGATATATATGTCTCCCTGAATTGTAGTTGAGCCGATCATGTTTCCAACCTCTGCACAAGCTTGGTTGTTGACACCGGCAGAATGGTAGTCTGGCCCTGAGGGGACAACGATTGAGCAGGAGAATTCACGGTTGTGGAATTCATTAATCATCAAAGATTCGAAGGCGTAACTGAGCGGATTTACATAAGCCATCCACCGTGACCATCCGGGCATATACATGGTTGGCATTGTGAAGCCAGTGTACATGATCAGACCTAAAACTAGTAAAGCAGCGGGCACCATTGCCTGCGACATGGTACGCGAGACCGATGCAATCGTCCGAAATAGGCCGGATGTCACCATCGTGCTGAGAAAAGCAACGAAGAGGAAAAAGAACACAGCCCCGGCCTCTCGTCGCAGGTTAGCCATAAGATATAATGTTAGATTGAAGACCAACGTGTTGAGCACTTTATATGGAATGTCAGTGAGCATGCTGGCCACAGCCTCTGCAGATGGGTGGTAGAGAGCAAATTGCTTGTGTTTCTCCACCACAGGCCGTTGTTCGTACAGCGTCAAAATCTGGGCATGGTTAGTGTTGGGCGTTAATGGAGCAGGCCAATCTATCAACAAATATTCACCTCTAAGACGCTAGCAAATGCACTCAGAAGCAGTGCAAAGAAGATCAATCCTCCTCTGCCATAAAAGCTATTCTTGTCGTCTTTCATATTGAAGAAGACGCTTCCCAAGACCAGAGTCATGACGGTATTGCCCCCAAGCTGGATATACGTCAAGGAGGGATCGGCAAGCAGACGCTTCCAGCCACGCCAAAGGCATAATGTTGTCTGTTGCATATACGACAATGTATATGGAGATTTAATTCTCTGGCTGCTCGCCTGTTGGGCCTTACGGGAGGCCACGAACTCATCCCTACTATCGTCCGAGACTGAATTTCTTCTCGTATACCTCAATACGACTCATCAGCTGCTGGCGCTGCTGACTTTCCTTCCATATTCTCTCAAAGTCCGTTGCTGTGACAGGTACTTTGTATGCGAACCCTGGTCGCACACGGCGTTCCTTGGGACTGGTCATTGAGGTGAGAAAATCCTTCCCGTTAGAAACAACAAATAGGACCGCCGTGGGACCTTACACTCAAAACCCAACTCTTCAAAATACGCGCGTGCTTCAGATGTCGGTCCGAAATATATCTGCCGTCCTTCATATAGGAGCATGACATTGTTGAAAAGCTTGCGCGCGGTAATATGGTGAGTCACAAAGGTGTCCAAAGATGGAGAGAGAAGAAAGGAAGAAGAGAATTCTGGGGAGGGGAATGCGTACATCATATGCCTCCTGGGGCGCTTGGTATAGAGAGACCAGGACAGATGACTGTAGAAGTTCCGTGGCCGTACGAAGTGTTCGGCAGAATTCGACAGCATTAGCACTGTCCAAACCACGGGTGCTGTTGTCCCAGCATTGTAACGCAGCATCACTGAGTGCTGCTTCGGCAATGCTCACGCGTTTTCGTTCTCCTCCGCTTACTCCCCGGATGAAGTCATTCCCAACGACAGTGTTCGCTGTATGCGAGATACCGAATATGGCCATGATCACATCCCGCAGAAGCGTGGAATATTCTTGTACCTTCAGCCCGGGTGGCAATTCTCGCGGTGCTCTGGCATGAGCTGCAAAGGAAAGCGTGTCTCCCACTGACAACATTGGAAAATGCACATCATTCTCACCGACATAGATAGCCTCACCGCGGAAGTAGCTATGCATTTCTTTGTTGGAAACGCCTGAGGCATAGCAGTGAGTAACCAGGTCAGAATAATCCGAAACTTTTAGCATGAATGAACCGGAACGCTACCACACATACCTCGATAATTCATCCTGACCTTGTCGCCCAAAAATAACCCTTTCATATGGCCAGAAATTGTTTTCAGTAACGTTGAACAGCCGGAGCCCGGAGGTCCAAGGACCAAAAGCATCTCGCCGGTGTTGACTAGCCCATCCAAGTCATGAATAATATCAATCCGGTGTTTACGTCTTGGTGTTATCAGCGATAGGATGCTGTTTCCCACGCTCTTCTGATAGTCTGTGTAGTTACCGAAGCCATACACGTTGAGGTTGCGAAAAGATACTCCGGACCTCCGGCGTCGTCCTGATTCCAGATTGCCATTCTCATATTCGACGAGAGCTTCTATCCAAGCGCGTGTGTCGAAGTTGGAGCACCGAGGGTCAAGTTTCGAGTCACAGGAGGGATAGAAAATGTTACTGTATGTCTCGTCTACCCCCATGGTCACGGTACTCTCTGAGAAACGGCTTGCCAATCTGCGAATTGTTTGGTCAGAATTGCTGTATACTGTTTGTTGTTGCCTTTCTTCGTCTCCATCGCCCGTGCAGGTCAAGGGAAACCTGGATTTCATGGTGCCGATCCGTTGGGATGAGCCCTTGGTTATGGTAATATACTGTCGGAAAGTCCTCGGTGTATACGCGAAGAAATTTTTGAAGCTTATATCGCTCGCTTTACTTTCTGTTCTCTTTATATCCTGTTCACAATATCTCTTCACATCCGTCAGTTAGCAGCAAACTTGATTAGAATTACTACCCCGATGTTTCTGCTGATTACTGATGCCTGAACTGTTTCCCCTTCCGTGTCATCTGGTAGAATAGGGCTTTCGGTCTTCAAGCTTGGAGCCAGACCGATCTCGGTGCTCGGGGGAACTCGAAAAGATGACACTCTGCTGGTACATCTAAGCCATTCCGAACATATCGTTGAGCGAAGTCTAATCTAGGTCATCATTGTTTCAAAATATGACGCGGCAAAGGCAGATCCTTTGGGCACCGGAGCAAACAATGGATGCATGCCTCCCTGAAGAGCAGTCGAGACATAGCGTTCTCTGCGTTTGTTCTTGTAGTATCTTTTCTTTCGCCTTCGTCCTCTATGAACTGCAATTATGATGTCCGCCGATATTGGACAATACCCAGAATCTTTATCCCTGAATTACAGTCTAGAGAAGCGGAAACTCCGAATTCTGATATTTTGGTTCCTGGTATTCATAGACTCAGTTGCCCTTCCCATCGGGCTCTACTATCTTCTCACCCGATGCACGACTTTGTCCACCACGACCAGTATGATGACCTCCAAGGTTTGCGACTTGAGCATCTAAATAACTGTTCTGTCTGGCAGTTTTTAATATATTAACCCTGACCCTGTTCGGTACTTTTGTTACGGAAACATTACAGAGATCGTGGAGTCTGTGGCGAAAGGAATCCAAGGTTCGCGTTCGCAACGCAGGCCGCTACTATGTGAATAATACCTCAACCTATCGCTTCACTCCACACCCTGTCTAGTTGCGAGTTAATCTAACTGGGTCCTCCTAGTTCGATTTCACCCACTGGAATATCCTCGTCGCCTGGGTCATTATTATTGCCGAACTGGTTCTGGGAACCATCACCGACCCCCCCCTGGATACGCATGCTGGCTGTGCCTGTGCCTTCGCTCTTCTTTATCTTTTCTATCGAGATGTTAATCTTCGAGTTCATGTACGTTTTGAAGATGTCTGTCCCATTCCGCATCTCCTCTATCGCGAAAGGCGACCCAATGCGGCCCGCTCTCTATCCACTCCTCGAAGACATCATCGCGGTTGATGGAAATGGAGGAACAGAATTCCGGGACCGTTTAGATCAACGCTACAATGCGAGTCCTCCATTCCGTAACATGCTACATCGATTGACGATACTATGGATGGTTCCTCAAATGCTGGTGGCCGGGGGAACGTTAGCTGGGATCGTGATTGCTAATAATGAGCTGGCTTACACGGTACGTATACTTATCTCCGAGGTTGATTGTGAGACATAAGGCTGAGGTTATGTGGGTGATACTGCAGCTTGGCTGGTCAGTCCCTGCTATTTGGGCAGGAATCTGGGCTATGGTAATGGTGGTCTGTGTCAGGGTAGAATTACGGCGTGACCGGCATTATTGGGACGGGGTGCGACTGGCCCAACAGCTGCAGATGGATAGGCCCTACATCTCAGAAGTTTCGGCTCAATTTGAGGGAGAACCCACCTAAGTGCACTCTAGACAATACTGTTTGGCTGCGACGGTAGGATGACACGGGTGGTAGACTATATCATGTCAGAAGGTCGAGAGTTTTTATTCTCACAATAGTGAATATGCATAGAAATGTTCCTAGATAGAGGTGGAGTCAAAAAGGGGGCACATGAGGAGAAGGAGGCTATGAGGTCAGAGGTGTTAGGCATTCTGGTTTCCTACCGCCAATTTTCTACGTATCTTTTTATTACCCCTCCCTTAGATCAATCAAGCCTATGTAGTTTAACTGGCTTGGTTTAACTATGCGATGAAGCAGTGCTAGGCATCAGTTTACCAAATTAACCCGATGTATGGTCATAGAGACCTTATGCGTTGATGCGTTGCCGAGGGCTAAACCCAGGCGAGTGATATGCGGAGAGAATATTCCTATAGTAAGCAACAAATGGATTATTAGGTCAGAGTGTACTTGGTGCCCTGTGGCAAACGACTTGACTACAATATAGTCATGATCACTAATATCTTGATGATCCCAAGGAAGTCAGTTTCAAAGGACCGCCGAACACCGAACACCGAACACCGAGAAGTATCATCTACTACATTTCGGGGTCCGTGGACGGGAGACTACAAGCCAACCCAACATTTATGGCATATCATACTTGTGGCGAGGAAGGCTATATTACCATGAAGCAGCTAAAGAAGAGAATGATACTTCATCTTTGCATTTAGCACGTTGATACATTGCATCCGGACAGATAAATCTGTAATAGGAAGCCATGAAAGTTGCCGAGCGCATTCCCGGACCTAAACGTAAGCACGAAAAACTTGTTATCAGCTCAATCACGCAAGGCCACTTTATATGCTCATTCTCTTACTGACCGTTCATTTCTTCAGCCCTTCCAGTTGTGGGAAACCTGTTGGACATCGACCTTGAGCATGGTCTGCAATCCATTATTGCATTCGCAGATAAATACGGTATCTCGATTTCCAATCGTCTATGTGCTCCATACATTGATAGGGAAGCTCTCTAATCTGGCGGTTTCTTCTAGGACCCCTCTTTCAGATCACTATCAACGGTGAAAAGCAGATCTTCGCGACTAGCCAGGCCCTGGTAGATGAGCTCTGCGACGAATCGCGCTTCCACAAGGCCGTAGTGACTGGCCTTGAGATCTTACGATTGCTGGCCCACTATGGCCTCTTCACAGCCTACCATGGAGAGCGCGGCTGGGGGATCGCTCATCGGATTCTGGTACCTGCCTTTGGCCCCCTACGTATCCGGAACATGCTCGACGATATGAGTGACGTAGCGCAACAACTGTGTTTGAAGTGGTAGGTATCTCTGGATTCAAAGTTCAAGTAGCTAGATTATCAACTAACGAATGTGCTCGATTTCATGGTCGATGCAGGGCTCGCCAAGGAGGTTCAACCAGTATCAATATCACCGAACACTTCACACGCCTCACTTTAGACACTATTGCCCTCTGCACGATGGGTTTCCGGCTTAACAGCTTCTACAACAACGAGACCATGCACCCATTTGTTCAATCCATGCTGTACGTCCTGAAGGAAGCCGATGTCCAGGCTAATCTTCCCGGGATTGCAAATTCAACTCGTGTTTCGACACAGCGGCGCATGCATAAGAACATCGAGGCGATGAGGACCATGGCTCGCGGCATCATCCAGGAGCGCAGAAAGAACAAGAATCCAGTTGATGACATCCTGAACACGCTCTTAAACGGGAGGGACCCAGTCACTGGTGAAGGCATGAGTGATGACTCAATCATTGACAATGTCATCACCTTTTTGATTGCTGGCCACGAAACAACTTCCGGCCTGCTCTCGTTCACGTTCTATTTTTTGATCCAACACCCCCACATCTTGAAGAAGGCCCAAGAAGAAGTCGACGAGACTGTCGGCCTGGCCCAGATCTCTGCGCAGCACCTCGCAGAGCTTCCGTATATTGATGCCATATTAAAAGAGAGTTTGCGCTTGATGCCTACTGCCCCTGGCTTCGCTGTCACACCAAAGAAGACGGAGGTTCTGGGCGGGAAATGGATGATCAATGCCGGCCAACCCGTCAATGTCCTACTGCCTGCCTGTCTACGAGATCAGAGTGTCTTCGGACCCGACGCAGACGAGTTCCGCCCTGAACGTATGCTGGCAGAGAATTTCTCTAAGCTGCCTCCCAACTCGTGGAAACCGTTTGGTAATGGTGAACGAGGCTGCATTGGCAGGGCTTTTGCTTGGCAAGAAGCCCAACTCGTGGTTGCCATGATTCTACAAACGTGTGATTTGGTGCCAGACGACCCGTCCTACCAGCTGCGCATCAAAGAGACTCTCACCATTAAGCCAGATGGATTTCGGATCCGTGCCCTACTGCGCCGCGGTCAGACTGCCACTGGGCTATCTCGACGTAGCATGTTAGTGGCGAGGGATGGGAGCTCAGGGGAGTCGTCAAATCATCCCGCCGAGGCCCGCGGAGACCACGCACCAGCAAGAGGGCAGCCGGTTTCCTTCTTCTACGGCTCTAACAGCGGAACATGCAAAGCCCTCGCCCACCAGTTAGCATCGAATATGATGTCCCGCGGATTTACTACCCAGAAGCTGGCTCCGCTAGATAATGCCGTCGACAACCTACCGAGAGATCAGCCAGTCACCATTCTAACAACCACGTACGATGGGCAGCCCACAGATGATGCGAAGAAGTTTGTCGCCTGGCTCGAAGCTGGCAATGTTCCGTCTCTCCAGGGTATATCTTACGCTGTATTCGGCTGCGGCCATCATGACTGGACTCAAACTTTCTATCGCATCCCCATCTTAATTGATGACCTGATGCACAAGGCCGGCGCCACACGCCTTGCGCCACGAGGTGCAGCTAATGCGGCAGTCAGTGATCTCTTCTCGGATCTGGAAGCATGGGAAGAAACAAGTCTGCTGCCCGCTCTTAGAGAGAACTTTCTCCCATCCAACAGCACCGACTTCGATCCGCTCAACCCCCACCAGATACAGCTTAGTCTCAGTAAGCCCAGGAGGGTGGACCTGCACAAGGGTCTTATAGAGGCAAAAGTGACTGCTGTCCGGGTCTTAACAAGCCCCGACACCCCGGAGAAGCGACATCTTGAATTGCGCTTCCAGGGCGACACCAGCTTGCGACCAGGTGATCATCTCAATATTCTCCCAGTTAATCCGCCCAGCACCGTCTCGCGAGTCCTGGCGCAGTTCAACCTCGCACCGGATTACAACATCACAGTCAATTCATTCAACACACTTGTTCTCCCCCAAGCCACACCTGTGTCGGCATCCGAGCTATTTAGCTCGTACGTAGAGCTATGCCAACCAGCGACACGGAATGTATGTCCATACAAGCACGTCTCTCCAACTCGAAACACTTGGCTAATTGCGAAAATCCCAGAACCTCAAAGCACTCATTGCAGCCACACAATCAGATCCAGACAAACAAGAATTGAACCGCCTGTATGATTCATACGAATTCATAGTCCGGGACAAACGCGTCTCAGTGTTGGATCTCCTTGAACAGTTCCCCTCTATCTCCCTTCCTATCGCCGCTTTTATCTCCATGCTCCCAGCTCTCCGCGTCCGGACATATTCCTTATCAATGGCTCCCTCGTTCAAACCATCCCACAGCTCGCTCACCTTCTCCGTGATCAACGAGCCAGCATGGCGCGGCAGTGGACAGCATCTGGGCGTCGCATCGAACTACCTTGCATCGCTCACATCAGGGTCCATTTTTTACTTCTCTCCACGACCAGCCAAGGAGTCTTTCCATCTTCCGAATGACCCTTCCAGCACACCTATCATCATGGTCTGCGCGGGTAGCGGTCTAGCCCCTTTCCTTAGCTTTATACAAGACCGCATGGTCTTGAAACAGCAGTACAAACCACTCGCGAAGGCATTGCTGTTCTTTGGCTGCCGTGGGCGCTCCTTGGATGACCTTTACCATGAAGAATTATCTGAGTTTGAAGCTGCGGGTGTGGTTGAGATTCGGAGAGCATACAGTAAAACTCCGGATTTCGACATAGCCAAAGGATGTCGATATGTGCAACATCGACTGGTGACGGAAGGTCAAGCCATCCTGTCTCTTTGGTCACAGAATGCTATAATCTATGTCTGCGGCTCGACGAACATGGCCAAGGGGGTCGAGGCCGTGTTACAGAATATGTTGGGCCCTTTGCCAAAGGAGCGATATGTTACGGAGATCTTTTAATTGCACATGTGTTCGGGTTGTGATGAAATCTAAATGGCAAATGTAAGTAATCTTTCATATAACAACAGTCCGAGTGCTTTTCCAAGATTGATATCAGAATTTGTTGGAGTTCTTCGATTGCGTTGATAATTATTTCGAGACAATTGTTTCTCATCGCACTTAGCCGCCGTCACCTAGAGTACAAGTAGCCACTCTTATTCCTCAGATCCCCATACAGTGGAATTTCAACATGCCTATCCCCGCTAGAGAAGTCCTTATGCCATTCATTGATTTGAACCGTAACCATTGAACTCACACAAACATAGTACACCTTATGAGAGATTTAGTAGGAAGGAGGAATCTATCAACTTGAACGGGAAGATACTTAGTGTCTACGATGCATACGGCCTCAATACCAGTACTCTCGAGTACAACAACATACAGCTCTTATCTTTACACTTCTAAAAATGGGTTATTCTGAAACAATCACCACTATAAACGGACGAATGGCGAGCCGTCCTCGGGATTCGGACAACAACTTCAGTTCATGCTTTCTTACTTCGCAGCTCGGCGCTCGGGGCTTGGCTTCCCAGCGGCCTATACTTTAAAACACAAAGTTCAACGGCAGTCTTCGCACGATGGAAAAAGAAGATATAACCTCCGATTTAGATCATCTCTATTGAATTTTAGAAATAGCATATCCAACCCACCACTCCAACCAAACCATGACCCCCCCTCTCACCCTACATCGCATGACCACCTTACAAGGCCTAGAACCACTATATCACATCGGAGCAGATGCTTTCCGCGATAATCCAGGCATAAACTGGTTCTATCCTGGTGGTCGCGAACATCCCGAAGATTTCATCGTGGCATGGAAATACCTTCTATTGCAGGAGTTCTTCGACAAGGGAAAGTATATCCTTGCTGCCTCGATCCCTGATCCAGATCAGGATGATACTAGTATTTGCGTTGAGAGACGGCCGGGGAAAGTTGTAGGGTTTGCTGTTTGGGAACGGAGGGGGGATTCTGAGGCTGCGAGGAGTTGGCAGGGGGGTGGGGTTTTGAAAGGTGTGTATCATTGCTTTGGAGTTTAATGTGATATGCTCTAGAACTAATGGCTGCATGTCCAACCAGGTCTCAAAAGACTACTCCTCAATCTACAGATCCTTTACACATTCTATTTCGATACACCACGCCGATCCTTATCCTGGCCCAGACTGAGGCATTTCGGACATGAGCTCGAGGCAGCTAAGGCTAATCAACCGAGCGAGTCGTGGTATCTCAGCAATCTGGCCGTCAGCTCAACGGCTCAAGGGCAAGGGGTGGGAAAGAAACTCCTGCAATGGGGGATTGATCGATCCGAGGAGGAGGGTATCCCCGCTACTTTGGTGTCTACTGATGCAGGGCTTGCTCTGTATACGAGTAGGGGGTTTAGGAATTCTGGCTGGTTGTTCTTTGATGATGGAAGACAGAAACAGACGGTTATGAGGAGGAATGTTAAGTATGTGAGATTGGATTAGATGTTGATTTAGTTATGTTTCTTCGGTTCGGCTTATTTTATGATTTTGTACATATTTGTTGTTGGGTTATATCTGATAATGATAGTGAGTATACTAGCAGTTATCTAGGTACGGACTTCGTCCCTGAATGGCATCGGTGTAAGGAAGTCTTTTTAGGGGGGAAACTTCAAAGGCCATAAGCCATAATCACCTGCAGATACCTGCGAGCCCGTAGAATCCGACATATGTACAGCTGAGTCCACTCGTTCTATTCCCGACCATCCAATCTAGAAATAATAGATCTGCAGATATATTCTATTCGTCTATGCGTTTTGCTCGTGGTCGCATCACAGCTAGGCGCAAAACCCAGCCACGTCTATAGTATGTCTATTTCTCGCATCAGGCCGGTAGGCCTATCCTCTCTTTTCCCCTCCTCCGGGCATATCTCAGTAGACCCGTATCGGGTCGGTGTTTTCGTTCGGACAACTTCAATCACCACCCGGAGACCCGCAGCCTAGACAGCCACAGCTATCTGTAAATCAGGGAGTTCCGGAAGCGTAGGCGAACTGATAGGCCATATTCAAAAACCATAGCAAACTTGGCTTACTTCTTGATTCCAATGACTGCCAAGTTTCTCGGACTCTCCTTGTACTCAAACACCGGCTCAACCCAGCACTCCTTCACGGAGTCGTGTTCCCGCAGGAATTGCCATCTGTCAACGACAATGATGGCCTCAACCAGAGCAGCACTGAAAGCCATCAAGCTCCAGACCACGCTCAGGTTCTTTTTCGCATACCAGTAATCCTTCACGTAACGATCGAAATCTTCCTCGGTCAAATCTGCCATGCCTGCCTTGACCTTCTCGCCGAAGTTCGGGTCGCGACCCAGCTTCGTCACTGCAGCATTGGCATACGCGGAGAAGGAAACAAAGGCCGATTTCCGCAGGGACCCTACAATCAGAGGGTTTCCGGCATCTTCAGGTTCCGTGGATTCATCGTACAGATTGTCTGAATTGTCTGGGTTCTTGGGCTTCGCAACTACCTTGCGATCCACAAGCATGCGCTGAAGCAGACTCCGATAGAAGTGGCGGGTGAAGAAATCTTCGCTGTCTTTCTTGCTCCAGTTGTACGGGGCCTGTAAGGACATGGAGCGGGCGGTGATGTTGAGCTTCATGCCCGTTCCACTTTCATGTTCGTAACCCTCGAAGCGCTTCGACATCGGGAAGCCATGAGGGTCGTATGCAACTGCATCCTTGGTCAGACGGGGATGCATCGAGCGGAGAATGGGAAGCTTGTAGGTAGCAGGACCCAGTCTCTCAGTGACCAGATTGTAGCAACATCCGATCATAGCAATGGCTTTAACGGAGGGATTCAGGGTCAGAGACCGTACTCCGTGATGGAGAAGGTTGCCACAAGAATGTAAAGAGATGACCATGACGTTAGCATCCTTTGATCCGCCTTGAGCTTCAGTCTCCCCTTCGACAGGCTCAGTCTCGATGACGTCTTTGATAATGGGCTCGAGGTAACCGTCCTTGATCTCATGCTCAATGTAGTCCATTTTACCTCGAGGTTTCTCCGGATCGACTTCCTCTTCGGTGGCAGTTTTCGGGGCATTGCGGTAGGGAGCGAACCCAATCTCGCCAGGTGCGAGACTGATATCACGGAAGACGTTGATCATGGCCATATCCTCTTCACCACCTGCCGCATCGCTTGGGCCCTCTGTAGCATCCGCCTTCAGATTGGCGGATTCCTGACGATCGGCATCCGTCTCTGCAGGCGCATCCGGTTCTGCACAAGTCTTGCAGTTGACCAATTTCTTATTGTACATGTTGACGCGTTTCTTCTCCTGCAGCTTCGCATGAATATCCATCCCCTTCGCGCCGCTGATGAATTGATGCTTCCGCTCAATGGCAACGATGTGTCTGTTGTAGGGAGCACACGCCAGCGTCCGTCCGAGGTAGCTCTGGCCCGAACCGAAATCGACAATGTGTGTAATGGGATCGCCCCGTTGTTCATTCACCGTGTCACAGAGCGAATCGACGTATTTCGAAAAGTGCGCGACCTCGTGATACTTCTTGACATTCATGCCAACCGCGATCTTCCTCGGGATCGTCGGCGTTCCGGGCTGCGCGGGGGTGAAATCCCGCCCCAGACTCAGTCGACGGATCTGATGGATATACTCCAATAGGTCCAAGGGAGGCAGAGGCGCCCCGCGCCACTGTGCGGTTGACTCGCCGCCACGCGCAGCAGCCTCCCGACTCTGGTCTAACAGAGGCCGGATGTCATCCCGCAGAAGCAGGTCCAGAATGTCTTGAATATCATGCTGGTCGAAAAAGGTCCTCCAGTGTTCCGGCAACAGCGAGGTATACAGGTCAGGTTCTCGGGTCAGGAAATCGAGGATGTGTACACCGCCGCAAAGATGCCTGAAGATGGCGGAAGAATTGGCGAAAGACAGGAGGGCCTCGACGTAGGCATCCGGATCCGTCCACTCTTCGGCGAGTGGGAGGGGTTGCGACGGAATCATGCGTCAGGTGCGATTGCAGCGAAATCGGGCTAGACTGGGATGGATATGCAGGATGACATCCGAACCGGATTCAGGGATTGTGAAGATGTCTGACGGGGAGTCCAATGGGCGAAAAGGACAATGCGGGAAGGAGGGGATGAAGAGACAGACAGAACAAACAAAGAAAAGAAATGGGGAGGAGTAAGAGAGAAAGAGAGATGTGGTGGGGTGATTTGCTATCGATATACACGACCCCGAAATTTTTCGAGGGGCGATCGATAGCGAAAAGGCGGATGTGGTTTAGCCGTGGTCGGACCCACCGACTAAAGCATCCAGTCAACAAACATTATTCCATCATTAAGGGTGGACGGAGTCTCCGGGTCGGGAAATGCGGAGATGGAGGAGGAGGGCAGAAGAGCGGATGGATCCAAACTCGACTCATCAATCATCACCACCAACGTTTATTGAACTTCCTGACCCTCCTCTATCTCCTTTCTCTTCTTTCTCCCCTATCTATTGGTCCCTGCAATTCTGACAGCAATACTATCTCCTTAGCGTGTCTGACTGTCCTCTCTCCCGGTTGAACCCCTGGCGACCACTCCAAAGGGCACTATTGAAACTATCAGGGCTAGTGAGTCCTGGAAAGCCGCTGATCGCATGCTTGACCATACATCGACCCTCCATGTGTCTTCTGCGACACTCAGCAAAGACACTAGTTCGTCCTGTCCATCGTGCTACGTGTGACTTTGGACCCTTTTGAGAATTCAGAATTTGTGTCCAAGGCAAACAGCAAAGTCGGGCTGGTGCTGGCAACCCCAATTCCCTGTCCCTACTACTCTCTTTCTTTCTATCTGTCTATCTCCTCCAATCCCCTTCCACCCGTAGTCTCTAAATCGCCTGATACCCTGAAACGTGGTCAAGACTTGTCATCATCGTCCAAGCCTAGTCCACCCCAGAAATGGTACCACGTATTATATAAGAAAGGTGACCAGTCAGCTTACTGTCATTCGGTTGCTGCATTCTGCATCCTGCGTACTCAGCCCTCCGGTATGCACCACTGCAGCCAAGCGCCCAACTGATAATCTGCCAACGCGTCACACCGTCTGCGCTTGATATCAGCCAAACGGCAATATTTCCCCTTACTGCCAAGAAAAAGAAATAGCGAATCCCTCGGGCCCCGTTATTAAAGAAGGCGATGTCACGCCTGCCCGTCTAGATCCTGTACCACTCAAAAGGGTACATTTCAAGTGCCGCTCCAACGGTAAGTCGGGATGATCTTCCGGAACAAGACGATACACAGCCAAGCTCCTCCTCCACAAATGCGCAAGAGACGTCCTATACTGATCCGCCTCCTCAAGCAGATGTTGACCTCATCTCCGAGGCGGGAAGCCCTTCCCTTCGGCTTCGTCGCCGATGTGCTCTTTCAGATCATCATCAATGGCGAGGTGAACACCATCTTGACGCTCTGCCGGTTGAACCGCGCCACATACGAGACCATCAAGATGTTGGAGCCGCATATCTGTGGCTGGTTTATGCGCTTCCATGCGCTGGAATTCGACCCCATTCTTACCCTTAACCCGTGGACGGGAGAGCAGAGCACACTAACTGTGCACTCCCTCGTAAGGTTCTTCCAGCGCCACAACATCGCCAAGGACTTATCGCGACATATTGTACCATCAGTGTGGGGACCTTTCTGCGATGACGGAACTCCAGAGATGGACTTCGAAGCGGAGTTACGCCTTGCCAACCGGTTGGAACGAGGGTTACACGTCCTCTTTCACATGGCCGACATTGCGCGTGACACCGAAAGGCTGAAGCCTAGCAGGAAGCCACTGGCCCCTGTTGTCAGTGGGCGTCTCTTCGTGCTCGGCAAGATGTTGGACGAGTATGATGAGCTTCCCCAGCACAGGAAACAGTTGATGCCATTCGAAGAGTACACCAACCACGTCTATACGGTTCTAAAGTGGGGATATGTGGAGGCCGATATTGGCCGCAGGCGGCTAGAGTTCCGAGGATGGCTTGACGAACAGACCGAGATCGACTTTCACGCGTCTCTGCGAATGTTGCGCGAGCTCATGGAGCGTATGCTTCTCCGCCACGGCCCCAAGGACTGGCACCGCGACGCCAAGAACGAATATAGCGTCATATCCTGGTTTCTCCTGAAACAACCGCCACGGTCACTGGCGAAGCTGTTCTTGAGTCCTCAGAACGACTGCTGCGATCTTGATGTGAAAGCTACTGATTGCGGTGTTAGGAAGTGCTATTTCTCAGACCCGCTCGACAACTACTGGAAAGCCTGGAAGAATGTGCCCGACCTAGGCTGCCAGGATTGTGACTGCAAGCGACGAGTCAGAAGTTGGAGCGTCAAGCCTGCACTCATTGATGCCCGAGGAAGAGAGTTTAATCGTGCTGCAGAGCGATACCTGAGGGAGATGTGGAGTCAGCGACACGTCGGCCTCCATCGTGCTTTTACCATGGGCGTTTTCACCACAGTTATTGGATGAGCTGGGATCATTCTGTCATATTATTCTTATCTGAACGAACTTGGAAGAGAACAAGAATGTCATCATTATTTACTACACAGTAAGACAAGAGGCCCATCTAGACATTCTAGATAGATCTTCGATATGGCTCCACGCCGCCTTCTTCACCGCCCGCAACCCCGGGCCTCCGTAGTAATCGGCTCCGGATCCTCTCAACCCAATCAACATCACTATCGCCGCTATTCCCAACCACCAAGCATCTCTGGAAGCGTTGTTTGACCCATTGTAACTATCTCATGATCTTCCCCTAGCATATACCCAACTACCCAACAACCATGGACCACACAGACCCCTTCCTCCAAGTCCAAGCGTAAGTTTCTCTCCCCCTTATTGATCCATTCAATCTACAACCCATCAAGCCAGGTAGCTGACGTAGCACCAATCCAATGCCAACAGCGACGTCCTCTCAACCCTCCAATCCACACGACCTCTTTTCTCCTCCTATCTCCGCATTCGCTCCCTCGCCAAATCGCCCAATAACCCAGAGCTCCAACAAGCGCGCTCCGAGCTCGAGACCACCCTCACCGATCTAACCGCGGACCTCGACGATCTAGTCGAGAGTGTGCGTGCAATCGAGCAAGATCCATATCGATTCGGTCTAGAACTGGAAGAAGTCCAGCGCCGACGAATTCTCGTTAACGATGTCGGTGCCGAGGTGGAGAAGATGAGGGAGGAGTTGCAGAGGGCAGTTACAGCTTCGAGTGGTGGGAAGGGCACGACTGGTGCGCTGCCGAACCCGGCTGACTTTGATAATGTCTTGTCGCCGTCGGCGGAGGATCAGGGAGATGATTACTATGCTGCGATGGAGCAGCAACGACAGATGGAGTTGATGCACGAGCAAGATGAGCAGTTGGATGGGGTGTTTCGCACGGTGGGGAACCTGCGACAGCAGGCTGATGATATGGGGAGAGAGTTGGAGGAACAGGGGGTCATGATAGATGAGGTGGATACGTTGGCCGACCGGGTGGGCGGCAAGTTACAGAATGGCATGTCGAGGCTGAAATACATCATACGGAAGAATGAGGGTAAGTGGTGACACTCTGACATTTTTACATTGTGCCTTTTCGGAAGAAAACGTTGGCTGATTATCAATTAGATACAATGTCATCCTTTTGCATTGCCGTCCTCATATTCGTTTTGGTCCTCCTTCTCATCCTGCTCATTGTTCTTTAAGACATGGAAACATATGGTTACAACTGCGTTATTCAAGACAAGACACGGTGATATCTTTAGACCTTGGTCTTCTTGCGGGGACGGTCGTTCTCGTCCTCCTCGTCACCCGAGATATCAAGGTCGCTGTCGTCAAAGTCGACCTCCTCGATGTCCTGATCCGTGACTGGAAGGAGGTCAGCTTGGATTTCTTACGGGATATGAAAACCACTCACCATAGTACTTCAAGGCGTTGGGCCAGAGGTCCTCGGCGATCGCAATAGCGAGCTCCTCACCACCAGGGAAGACCTCAATGTCATCGAACTCATCCTCAATGTCGTCATCCTCGTCATCATCCTCCTCATCATTCTCGCCCTCAACAGGTTCGCCCTTGAGGAGCTTCTCAAACCTCTCGTTGTCCTCCTTGGTCGCGGTCTCGGACTGCTCAGCAGTGACATCACTGCCACGGTAGCCGAAGAAAGCGAAGAAGCTCATACCACCGGGGCCATCCTCGGGGAGCTCATCCTCATCATCACCCATCTCCTGGTCCTCAGCCGCCTCAATCTCGTCCTTCTTCTCAAGGACCTTGGTGAACTCAGGCAGCTTCTTGCGGTCTCCGCCCTTTTTCTCCGCCTCAGCAAGGTCGCAAGCAGCGTCCAACAGACCCTTGGTAGGGTCCTGGTCCTTCTTCCAGTTGATGCGGACAGGCTCAGAGACCAGACCGTCCCAAGTGCGCTTGTGACCCTTAGGGGTGGTGATGACCTGCTTGCGCCAGTAGAAGGTCTTGACGAGCTTCTCGTTCTCGAAGTAAGGGTTCTCATCGCCGGTACGGAACTCGAAAGTCAAGCGGAAGCTGCGGGGCTCGCCCTGGCCCTTCTCATCGATCTCGAAACGCTCAACGGTCAGGTTCTTAAGAGTCGAAGCGAGAATCGTAGCATCGGTCATGGTGATGTATTCCTCGACCTCGGCGGGCGCATTGAGCATGACACGAGTCCAGAAGGTGTCGCGCAAATCCGGCTCGGCGATGACCTGGGTGCGCTTTTCGAACAGAGGACGAAGCAGGAGAGTAGACTGGCGCACTATATACCCATTAGTTAGATTAGATCCTATCATCAAATAAACAATAACAACCAACCCAACAAACAACCCCCAAATAACCAAAAATCAAGAAATAGAAAAGAAGAAATTAGAAAGAACATACACTGCTCCACCTCCGCCCTAGCAAACTGCTCCTCAATCAAAGAAATCTTCTTCGCCGTCTCCTTGCTCACCTCGGGGCGCTGAATGCGCTCCAACAGCGACGTGTTAGCTTGTTGTTCCTCAGCAGACATGATGATGGCTGTTATCTATTTTCTTTTTTTCCAATGGATTGAATAAATAAAAAAAAGTGTGTGTATGAATAAATGGTTTTGTATCCCAAGAATAACAATAGGGGAGTGGGTATATATATATATTATATAGGTAGGAAGAGAGGGAAAAAAAATTCTGATGGTTTCAAAAAAGTTTACTGGTTGGTTACTGCGCGTAGTAGTACTCAGTAGCACTAAGTAAAGTATGGTCAGTCAGCGCGCGGGCGCGGGCGCGGCTGAGACGGGCGGAAGTTGCCTACGTAGTTAGTTTTGTTGGTTAATTAGCTACGGAGTACTTAGGTAGGTTTATCCGTAGGTAGTTAGTTCAGGGGAGATTAGTAACTATGCTATGCTTATGCTCTGCTTACTGTATGCTGTTGGCTGGCTGGCTGGCTGGCTAGGCTGGTTTGGGTAGGTTGCACGGGAAGGTACTAAGCTGTTAATTTAACTGCATTGGGTTAGTTACTTTGTAGCATTAGGATTAGTAAGGGGTGTTGATGATTCCGGAAAATGACTGACTAACTTGCTAGTTGGTTAAGCAAGTGCATGGAAGGCAGGATTATTAGCCAGTATTATTATCTAGTAGGAAAGAAGGATTGGAAGGATGGTGGGATGATCCGTAAAGTACGTCGTGAAGTGCAGGCAGCATGTCATTTAATTCGAGTAATAAATGATGATAAGGAGGTAAGTAAGTAGGTAGCACGGAGGTCTCCGAACGCTGCGTTTCCCCTACGGAGTCATGGAGCAGTAGTACTCCCCTCCCCGCTAACGATAGGGAAAGACTGACTGACAAGTGACCATCACATCAATAGTAGCAAACAATGTAAGACATTATACTACTCCTCCAATACTTGTGTCAGGTGCTTACACTGCTTACTCTTTATTCTGCGATAACTGCCACAAAATCTGCACTACACTTATCTTACACCATACATTATTAAATCTACCCACTGTAGTAAATAGTAAGTCAATAACGTTATCATCAACCACACACTTACCTACCTACCTACCTCCACAGGAAGAGAATGTTCCAGCCCACCTCTTCATCAAACTAGACTAACCCACGCCACAACAGGGATCGCTTCGGGCGGGTTTTCCCCAGCAACTCGTTGCTTTTTCCGGGAGATCTGCTTATCGGTGGCGAAAAACAGGCTGGGGGTGCGGGTTAGCTTCGTTCGGGGTATAGTTTAGTATGTAGTTTAATTTCAAGGCGGGTTTGGAGGTGCTGCTTGTTGTGATTTATACTCCATGGATGGAATTTCGAGATCGATCGAAGCTGTGATTTTGCTGGCAATTCAATCGCATCAGTCAAGTAAGGGGTTAGTGACCGCAATGAAAACGACAAGTAGCATGTCTGGCGGACTGAGAATGAGCTTAGTCCATTCCAAATATTAGCTTTGCTATCTACCCAAGTCACCATGGGTCTTGAGTATCAATCCAGCCAGTCAATCAATCAATCAAATCACATCCCTTCATCAGGATACTCAAACAAACAAACAAACAGCCGCCGGTGCGATCATCACACCCGAGGGGAATAATCGGCAAACACATAAATGCAGATCACTTGAAATGCATAGTGAAGAAGTGAAAGAAAAGAGAATGAAAAAAGAAACAGAAACAGAAGCGTAACAAATAGTCAAAATAAACTTTTGGCGGATTGGCCTCCAATCCGACATGTCCATCATCATGCCTGCAAAATTCGTAACGTGCGTTTCAACCAGCAACCCATTAATATAGAAACTTTTTCCGCGGTGAGATGAGATGAGATGAAATGGGCCCCATCATGACAACCACTCCTGCGTCTTCGTCTTTCCCATTATGGTATAATTTTTCCGTCTCCCAAAGATAAGACCCAGGCCAGTTCGCCAGTAATGCATGAAATAAAAAACTCAGAAATGAAAAGAAATTGAAGGAAAACCAGAGAGCACTGAACGCAGCGGTGGGAGTGAGGGACAGGACAACCGGCCGGTTTCGGCTTGCGCTCAGACAATCGATGTAACCTCTTTATCGAGCCAATCGCGCCCATCGCTGAATTGACCTTGCGGCTGCCCTCCCCATCGCTCACCGGAGTGCAACACAGCACGTCAGATCGCGCCATCACAACATCCAGTCCAGCCCGTTCGCTTCCTCTTCCACAGGGAAGACTTCGCGCGCGTATTCCTCCATGTCTCGCCAGCCCTGCCACAGGTGCCGGGCCTCATCCGTAACACGCAATGATATGACCCCTCCGGGACCCTGCATCATACCCGCACCCGCACCTTTGCCATTGGCTGGGCCCAGGCCCTTCGGCGACCCGGCCGCAGGGCGGGAGAATTCGGGCTGCGGGAAGTAGGGTGCATCGCACTGTCCAAACACCACCTCAATGGCTTCCAATTGTTCCCGATAGCCGGGCGGGATGTTGACCTTGACTTCGACCTTGGGCACGCGAACGTAGCGGCATGGGCGACCGAGAGCGCGCGAAAATGCCGCACAGACCTGGTTCGGGGAGAGCGTCTCGAATGTGAGGGCGATCCTGCGGTAAATCAGCTATCAGCTCCATGTTACCCTCCGATGAATGACCGAGAAAGACCTACCGATGACCATTCCACTTCTTGGGCCCATCCTTGAAGATCTGCAGCAGCGCCGGTCCCACATCATGCTCAGCATCCAGCCAGGGGAGAGGAATATCCGGGTCGAAAGGTGCGTGCCACTCAAAGCTTCCGTCCTGCATCAGCTCCATCTGGAAGAGGGGGTATGGTAGACTTGTAAAGTTGTTGTTGTAGATTCCGGCGTAGACGAAAGTCGAGGGCAGACCGAGTTGACGAATGTAATTCTCCACGGTGAACTTGGGAGCCCAAAGGGGCACCGGAGGCCACGGTCCATGCACAGAGTGGTCGGGCATACTGCTATAGACGTAGTGTTGAATGGTTCCTGCTCGCTTGGCGGCATCGGCCAAGGCGCGTCCGATCGCAACTTCGTCGCCAGACTGGGAGGTGGTGTTGATGAACGCAAGATTGGCCCCTTGGAACAGGGAGTCCATCAGCTCTGTGTTGCCCAGAAGGGGGCCCTGGAAGAGAGTGACATTGGGCAGGGTTTGTAATTCCTCCGCGATGAGGCCTTTGAGCGAATGGATCTGAGCGCGAACATGGTGGCCCACTGCCGAAGCGACACGGATCAGAGACGCCGCCTGGCGACCCGTAGCGTTCACCACGGCAATGGTCTTTCTTTGTTGTGTCATGAGTTATAGTGGGAGGGGGGATGTATTGTGAATGCGGGTGCAAGAGATAATTCTCCGCGGTAGGAGGAGAATATGGTAGAAGGGGGGGGGATTTAAAAAGTAAAAAAAAGATGAAGAAAAAAGTATGCGGGGTAAAAGTAAAGCAGGGGAGGAAAAGTGACCAGCGGACGAACACGAAGTAAGTCTAAGTCGGGCAGTCGAGCAGATCTGGAGTCGGGTCAGGTGGCCTCCCAGAATGGGAAATTGAGTCAATGCGAGACCGATTTATTGCCAACTAGTGATTTTGTGGAGGTTGAAGAGGCAGCAGGTGTGATCGTGTGTTGCAGTTGTCGAGAGAATTTCTTGCGTAGTAGTACGAATACCAGTTGCTGTCCTAGACTGCTAGTGGTGGTACCTTGACGAATGGAACAGTGGGGTAGTTAGACGGAGCAGTTGGCGGAGGCGCGCACGAGGGACGGAGAGTTATATAGCTCAGTGGGATAAGATTGCCTGGGGAGACAGTTGATTTGACAATGCCGCAATCGAAGATTTCAATGGTGCAAGACGATGACCGGTCAGGCAGCTGTTGTTTGTTGCTGCAGTTGCTGTGGTTCAAAAAGAAAGCGCGGGACACTAGTACTACTTGTACAAAAAAAAAAAAAAAGAGAATCCCACCACCGGAGAAAAAAAGATCGATGATGTTGGAGACAACGGCGGATGATGAGATATTAGGTGCTCCAACTCCAGACCGACACAGCCGGGCTGCTCGCCAAAAGCCAGGTTTTTGTTAGTTAATGCAAAGCAGCGCCTCCTCCGTTGCAGGCACGGATCTCCCTCGTCGAGAGGATAATATGAATAATAAGAATCACCGAATGCTCCAACGAGGCCGAACAAGTGGACACCCCCCAGAGCCGGTCTGGCGCACCAGGCAAGGAAATGACCTCACACAAACTGAAGGTTTTTCAGTCCAAATGCACCAAAAAAATAAAATAATAAAAATAAAAATAAAAATAAAAATAACACAGCAAAAGCAAAGATCAGTAATAATCTGTTAATTAATTTCGCTGCAGTTTGAATCGGAATATGGCGAAATTGGCGGGAAAAATAGAATAATAAAAATTCAACAAAAAAAAAAAGAGCCGTGGATCAGGTCTAGTGCTTGGTTCCGAGATTCGCACCCACAATGACCCTAATCAGCCCTGTTGGTCAGGGGAGACTGCACAAGCTTTATCAGATTGGGGGGAGAGGATGACGATGAAATACAATTGACGAAGGTGTCAAAGGGAAGATGCAGTGACTACGTAGGAGGTAAGGCCTTATAAAAGGGACAAGCTGGTCTATGAACCGAAATAGAAACCTTCTCCCCCTTTCTAGGACAAGTCGGTGTGTTCGATGCCCACGTATCTAGGGGGGCCTGGAAGCGACGTTGTAGAGAAGAAAGAAAGGGAAGTAACTGCGGTCTGTGTGCTGCGGCAACGGGGACCCGATGAGCCCACGACGACTGTCGGCTGGTCTGGATTGGGATCGTCTGGGGTTTGCATCTAACATGGGAGGTGGTACCCATGAGTGAATTTCTTGACTCCTCCCACAAGTCCCCGTCCACTGGGAAAATCCTGGCCAGAAAAGCTGCCCCGGTCCCATGATGTGATGGGGAAGCCTTCCGATGTGCTTTCCGAGCGGGTTTATATCGAGTAATGCGAAACAGTCATAGAATGGAAGGCCATTTGATTGAACGGTGTCAGGCGGAATTGCAAACTCTGGATGGCTGACGCGATTCCAAGGTACTCGGCCCTCTGTTCCTGAGGGTACGCTTCTCTAGATTTCGCTGCCATCTTCCATTGCGTGGTTGGTCTTGCACCATTCGTTTCCAAAGCCGGGGATGACAGGCCAGCTCGGAAGATGAGGCAACTAGAGCAGCAGCCCTGACAGGAAGACGGGACCTTGTTGGATGTTGCTAGAAGTGCCCACGATGTCCTCGATGTTGAAGTGACCATTGACCTTCTTTCCTTTACGTAACTCGGATGCAGTTCAGGGGTGGCTGGAAAGGGAGCTGAACGGACCAGCCAAATCCACCATCATCATCATCATGATACATAGAAGAACTAGTAGTATGGGCATCACGAGGATGTCGTAATATGATTCAATCTGAGATTAGTGTCTATTGTAGGGCGCAATCTCAACCCATGGGACATCCTCTATATTGGAAGGTAGTATAGGTATGCGATGCACCTTCCAACATTAACGGTTCCAGCTAAAGTAGTACGTAGGAGAGATTCTTCATTATTGCTGAATTTGGGTAGCAAGAAAAAACAAAGTGCATTTCTATCAAAGAATGTCCGATCCCGGCAAGTCCCAGCCAATGACAGTCAATGAAGAGTGTGGGCGGGGAAATAGCGGCCTCCCACTGATCGACTTCGGGGGACAGCCACCGATTCTGAGGCAATCCTCTACAGCAAGACGTTATACTTCTATCTTTCATTCCACTTACCTACAGTGTCGGTTCCTGGATTTTTTCAATATATCTATATCGCCTTTTCAAATCTCTTTCTTCCTCTTTCTCTTTCTTCCGCCAACATTGAACCAGTCTGTTTGTCATGGTCATGAAATATCACAAGTGATAATCCACATGAACTAGCGAAGAAGCCGCCGTCACAGCCGACTGACAAAGCCCGAGCAGCCCACGTTGCTCTCCAGACCCATCGGTCCAAATCCTTCTTACCGACCAATCCGTGCGCCGCAGCTTCTCACGCGTCTGCCAAGACCCGAGAGCGGTGTTCCTTCTGGGGCTCTTTTTGCGACGAAAGTGGTTCTCTACGGGCCTGTGGGTGAAGTTTTAGTCCTCAGTAGTATGGGAGGAACTGAGTACCACTTGGACTCCTTGTTTTTCCTGACTTAGGTTAATCCTCCCACAAGGTCAGCAAGGGGAAGGAAGAGCTTTCATACCAAACAAGCAGACGGTATGACAACCGTGCGACAACACATCCGGGCCATGTCTGCAAGGGAGCAACCTTCATCTGATCAACACCTTATCTTTCCCTGGAGCTACTACTAATTAGGAGAGAGCAGCAACCGCGTGGGTGAGAGCACAGACTTTGTCCAGGTCAATCTAGTAGAATCTAAGAAACATCAAGTTTAGTGGGATAGTATATTATAACTAAGATTAGTTAGGAGCTCATCATCGTCATCAAGCCACCACCGCCTTTGAATTGATCATGTGCAACCTGGTCAGCTGCTCCGTCATACTTTTTTGTTAGCGGAGTAGTAGCACTACTGTACGAAGTATACTACTACTGCTGCTGTTGTTACCAGCCAATAAATGTAGATATTTTATCCTGATGAGGAAGGTCCTTGGATCCACTATTTGGGTACCTGCTCACTAAGCCCCAGTGCACACTAGACTACTACTAGGATACTAGTACTAAGTAATAACGCATCTCAACTGGGAAAAAAAAATAATAAAATAAAAAATAAAACATCTCAGCAATGGCGCAATTCAAAGCGGGGTTGGCCATCGTCCATCGTCCTTTTCCCCTCCATCCATCCGACATGCATGACCCCGACCTGCATGCCCAGGGATCCTGCATGTTGGTCAGGTATCTCCGCGGAAAGGACTTCCCTTTTCTCGCCGTCTACATAGTAAACAGTCGTCCAATACATGGTAGTAGTTGTGTTCACCTCGTGGCAGTTATATTTGGTGGTCATCATAACGTGACATTCCCCTCATTCTATCATCAAGTATACTGTGAGATAGTACCAGGCAGCGTGTGAATGAAAGCTTTAGATTAATAACAAAACGCTTTTCCGTCTAAAAAGAAATATTACCAAAACAGCTCTAAACCATCAAAGCTCCTGTCTCTAGAGAGAAGGGGAAAAAAAAAAAAGATCGCCATCTTCAAGGCGCCGATCCCGCCATCACTCGCTGCGCCATACGTCCTATAGAATCACTCGAGTCCTCCAGTTCCTCCATCTCGCGCTCACTCACCTCACGGGGCCCAATCCCCGCCAACCCCCAGACGCCAGGTCGGCGCCGGGCCAACAACTGCGCCGCCGTGCGTTCGTCAGAGTGCAGATGCGCCCCAGACTTGCGTAGCAGCAGCACGTGCTCCGAGAATCCTGCGTTGGCCGCCAGGAACAGCGGCGTCCGACCATTGCGGTTTCGCAAGTGCACGGAGCCACCCTGGAGCAGCAAGTATCGGAGAATCTCAACTGAGGGTGAAGTTGCTGCGAGGTGCTGTGGAGGTGACGTGGGTGTCAGTTCCTGTTCTTTCTTTTTGTCTTATCTACAGCTGGGAGCATGGAGGGTTGCCTTACGATAGGTGTGTTGCCCGAGTAGTCGGCGTCATTCAATAGCCATTGGTGTTCTCGGGCCACAATCTCCTCCACTCGCTCAAGATCACCCTGCGCAATGGCGTATCCGAGCACCGTGAGGGACTGAACGCGCTCAGGGAGCGCCCCGTCCGGATGACGGAACACTGGCTGCGATACCTCGGTCAATTCGCCGCGAAGAGATACGGACATTTTCTTCGCGACCCATTCTGGGGTGGAATCCGGAAGAGCGAGGAGATATGACATCTTGGTTAGTGCGGCCTCGGTGGTCAGATCGAGTCCGGCGACGACTCCCGCGCGAGAGAGACTCATGCCGGGGGCATAGACGGGGCTGACGCTTCCTGTCAGGCCTGGTTGACTGTGTCAGAAGAAACTCTGCTTGGAGGGAAGGAATTATTGGCAACGGTTGCACTTACATTGCGTGACGTTCACGATCACGATTCCTCGCTTGATAGCGGCCGCCAATACATTGGTCATGGCATTGTCTTGACCGCTGGGTGCGTTACCGGCGCCAAACGTCTCCAACACTAAACCACGGAGCCCTTCCAGCTTCAGTACGGCGTCGACCATCTCCGGCTTGATACCAGGAAAGATACGCAGACACGCCACGTGGGTGGTGTCGAGGTTGGTTTGAATACGGAAGTGTTCCAGGCTCTTCGGTCGGTTGACCAGCTCCCAGTTCACGTTGGTCCGCATGGAGGTTGTCACCGCCAGCGGGGGGCAGTTCGGAGAGTCAAAGGCTGCGAAATCACTGGCTGCGACCTTGATCGACCGGTTGCCACGGAACAGTCGGTTGTTGAAATACAGACACACTTCGGGGATCATGAAATGGCCAGCCACAACCAGTGATCCGAGAAGGTTATCGGTGGCATCATTCTGCAACTCCAGCATGGGCGCTTGCGCTCCAGTCAGGATGACGGGCTTTCCAAGGTTTTGCAACATGAAGCTGAGCGCCGAGCATGTGTATGCGAGACTGTCTGTTCCGTGGAGGACGACGAAGCCATCGAAAAGTGTGTAGTTTCGTTCAACGGTGTGAGCGATCTGAGCCCAACCTTTCGCATCGATAGAACTGCTATCAAGGAGCTCTTCGAACTCGAAGACAGTGTACCGCACCCGTCGCCCATAGGCAGTCGGTGGTGTGCGGAGAGTGGGATGTCCTTTGATCTCTCCGGCTGAGTTGACCACCACGTCCATCATGCTCGGGTGCGAACCATCGTTGAAAGTCGGCACGCGGGCCAGACATTGCTCCTGGAATCCTCTGGCAGGAATGAAGCCTGATGGGGACTGTCGCATACAAATCGTACCACCGGTCATGATAATGAGGACCCGGGACTCGGGGATGAGATCGTCCGGCTGCTGCTCAGCCAGCTCGGGCAAGGGGCCATTGACATCGAGAGCTGCCATGATGAAGAGCTGTGACGATGATCTCTAATTCTATGGCGTAGACAAGGCGCAACAGGCACAAAAGAAGGTAGCGATGAAGTTGGCTGTGAAAGCAAGAATGCGGGGCCTCAGATTTCAGGCCCGCTCAGATTCGCCGAAACAGCCACAAACAGGGCTAGAAAGTATCTATCCAAGAAACGGCCTCCACAAAAAGAGTTTTTGGGGTCGTGGAGCTTGCAAGTCTGAAAATAGCTCTCTCTGCGATGAAACAAGCTGAGTAGGTATTCAAGCCCAGGGCAGAACGGGGTCAAGAGTTGGGCACACAAAGATAAGGTTAGCAGTTTACCTAGCAAAAACAACTATGGACCAGCTTCAAGAACCAGGAGAAAACAGGGGACGTCCCATAATCCTCGCCCCTCTCATATGGAACTACATAAGAACTAGACTAGACCTGGGATAATAGGCTACTTGAATTAAGAGTTGGAGACACCCACCCACATTGTCTCCGATTCACGGCTGCCGCATTACGTACAGAGACTGCGTTGGTGGTGCCAAGAAGCCGCCCCCCAGCGCAGGATTTTCTTCGTCGGCCACTCTCTCTTTTCGGGTGCGGTGGATTCCTCCGTCAACTTTAACCACCACCGCCTCCACTTCATGTTGGAGTAATAACTGTCTGGATCTGAGTCTGGGATGATGCTGATCAAGCCTCCCAACCCCAGAAAGGGGTGAGGTATGATCTAGGGCTAGTGTATGCATGAGGTCGTGGCTCGCAAAATAATGAGCAAGCCATATTTCTACTATGCCGAACATGACCGTCGACTTTTGCCTGTCCTCAAAAACCTGAGCACCTAAGTGACTGCAGACTTGTCTTCCTACGTCAGGTCTTTTGTTCCAGTATCGCTCTTCCAAGTAAACCTCAATATTGGGAACAAGAAAAAAAAAAAAAAAAGGATAATTATATCAGTAAGGACACTGACAACCAAAACCTTCTCTATCCACAGCAACTCATACTATCATCGCAGTCATGCGACGAGATAGTGGCTATTAGTATATAGTACAAAAACATCAGAGCGTCCCCATCCATGGACAACCATAATCGCCTCCTAGCTAACGGCAGACCTGCCCCGCAAAATCACATTTGGCACACAAAACTAATTGCTGATGATCAACCCTCAAGCCTCAACAGTGCCGGACGCGCCCATTTCAGCATGAAGTCAGATTCCATCGCCTCACGCGCTGATACCCGCTCCAACGGCTCATAAGCTAACATCCCCTCCAGCAACCTCTTGAAGCTAGCCATCTCCATCTCCTGAAGCTCACAAATTCGAAGAGTCTCCCCTCTTCCCATCTGCCAGAGTCGCTGGTCCAAAGGTCTAAATTCAGGTGTCTGGATCCTATTAAAGTTTGGGTTCCAGGAGCCGTTTTCAAGGAAAAACTCAGGTCTCTTTTCCCAGCGTTGCCACCATTTCTTTGGCAGCTTACCTAGTGTACTTACCATTTCCCCAATCACATCATCTGGATCATCTGCCCAGGTTTCGAAGAGGGGCCTTTCGCCGAGGATATCGTATAGCGTACAGCCAAGGGTCCATATGTCGGCGGCTGGGGTGATGGGGTCCTGGAAGAATGCTTCGGGAGGAAGCAAAGCCGTGGGTGTGTGTAACTCCAGTGGCTCTTTGCCAAAGAAGAAAGATGAGCCAAAGTCAGTAATCTTGACTCTGCAATTTACGACCTGGTCGCTTGGGACGATCAGGTTCATTGGTATGATGGCGTGCGCGGGAGCACATGATTGGATGGGGGCCTTGTCAATCCTTGTGATAGGGACCTCAAACGGTTTGCCAAACTGTTCATAGATATCTTCGATACTCAAGGCTTCAAAGTCAACAGGCTGGAGAAGAAGAATGTTGCGAGCATGGAGATCTTTGGGATTGTGTGAGCAGTCAGTAAAGACTCGATGGGTAGGCCTTGACTTACCTCCATGCCCTACCCCAAGGGAATGCATGTAGGCCAGTCCCATGGTAACTTGAGCGGCAATTGCTCTAGCTATATCCAGGGAGAACATGAACCGGGGGCTATTCTCCTTGGATTCAGCAACACTGCAGCCAGCGACTTCGCTGACCAGACACATGTGATGCCCGTTTGGCCCTTTGAAGGAAAATTGATCAAGCAGTGAAGAAATGTATTTACGGCCTGGGTGGTTAAGATCACCCCTTTGAAGATGCTGTAGAATCTTTGACTCGACGCTTCTTTCCGAAACATCTGCAATCATGATCTTCAATGCGACATACCGACTTTCTTTCCGATCGTGAGCAAGCCAAACAGTCGAATAGGAACCATAACCTAGTTTGTGGACAACTCTGTATCTGCCATTCGAAAATTCATCGTTAATATACGTCGGATGGTATCCGCCCGTAGAGTAGCCCTCTAGGTTCTCTACACCGTCTTCAGGCCAGTATACGGCCTATTGTTCCATTGCGGAGGTGGCATGGCTCTGGTTGAGTAAGCAAGATGCAAGGAATTCAAGGAAGTAAGACTGCGAAAGATCTATTCATTGCTATTCAGCATAGAAATCCTCCAAAGGATGCCGCTCATAGAGAGTTCGACTTACGTGACGGTGCTGTTTGCAGGCTAGCGATCGTGCTCGGAGAACACGTAACATAATAATTTGATTACTTGATGGGAGCTGTAAGTACAGACGGGGTACAAAGGTGAAGCTTCGGGTTCAACCAATCCTGTTTCTAACATGTGGCAGAACAAAAGCTCCTGGCTAAGAAAGGAGTGTCTTGAGGTTGCGGAACTACCTTGGCGCCCGTGCCTTTCCTTTATTTTACCAAAGTTCTGGGGTAGTCGTACTAACCGCATCTAGCTAGACTGAAACGATAAGCCATTCAGGTTCCACCCACTGCCGCCGACTGAATCCTGTCACAATCAACAAACCTACAGGTGAACGATAGGCTGAGGATCGTTCAGGAGTCATTCCATTTAGTTGTCACATTTCATGATGCGCACTACTATGAAGCCTTTGGCGCGCGGGCCCCTCACTTCACTCAGGTCATGCTTGCATGGAGACTGAAAATTATAAAGTGATGAGCGGGCCTTTCGTTTTGAGAGTAAACGCCTCATCAGCACTGCAAAACTAATTGTCTTCTGTGTTCTGGTAAGTCACTTATGAGCCCCTGTTACCCCTAAGTGGGATAATGGCTAAATAACTGGATTCAGAGCATTTACTCTATCTTCAATACGCTCGATGGCCTCCAAGATCACTTATATCTAGAAGATCCCCCGCCCGAAGAACGAGGGTCTTGCTCGTGCACTCCTCCATGCCGCCTACAAAACTGCAATATCGACAGATCCAAATGTTACCACGGTCCTGATTAGGGCGGTTCCAATATAATCGCTCCTGTTTTGAAAAGTGATTACTGATCTCGGATGTAGATCTTGAATTCATCCAACCACAAGGACAGGCGGAGTGTACAGACCTGACTCACCACACATCACGATCGCTGTCAAGAATCCCCAAACCGCTCAGAATGGAACACATCAAGCCAGCCATGGGTACACAGAAAATATGCGATCATTCAATATTTTGAACGTCAGACCTAGCAATGTCGTTAAGCCTGACAGCATCCAAAACACCTGGCCGGCGAGAGGATTATTTTCCGAAAGTATCGAAGGGGAACCGGCAACTTTAGGCCCCGAGTTTGTCGTGTGGGACTCAGAGTAGGCTACCTGTCCAGAATGGGGAACGGGGCAACAACGGGTACTGTCATGATACAAGATGTGCTTCTTGAAGAAAAGCCGTCCTCCATGGATATTCTTTTTGGTCTAGATCACTCTCATGGTTTGCTATTGATATAAAGGAACAACTTGGGTATTGCGGGGCTACAGAAATCAACGAAGGAGGTATGATATGAACATTTCACTGTCCTTTTGGATTCATCGCTTACGGGGTAGTTTTGGTCCGCCGTAAATGTTGGAAATTCAAAGAGGAACAGTCTCTATTCTGGAGCTGACGCGGATAGGTACTGGACAGCATTGGGATCATGACGCTCTGTAGATTTCCTCGCTTCAATTGTCACTCAGTAGAATCGTATCAGAACGACCTGCGCCACATGTGTTCAGGCTCTGTCGATATATGCTCGAAAAGCGTAAGGTCAGGCAAAAGAATTACTCAACATCCTATTCTTAGATGATAGGGAAACTGCGAGACCTCATCAACGTCCTTTGCACTTTTCATTGGACATCAAATTGGCTCCTCATTGGACCCATAGTAGCCAGCAGAGCCTGTCAATTTGTCTGCCTGCTGGTTGGCGTCATGATTTTTTGAGCTCGCAATATACCATGTACGAGAACTAACAGGGAATTCCATGCATAAGCGCCTGCTCTCAGCCTTGTCACGTCACCCATGAGGACCAATCCTTCCCCTAGATTTTGCGTATGAGCCCAATGGACCTAGTAGTATCTATACAAAGAATCCCAGGAAGGGTCTAGAAGCTCCACGGATAGGTCGGTTCAGCTAATCCACTCCCAGTGGCTACGTAAGTAGTCATTATCGGCATTCCAGTCAACGTCGAACCCATCGTTGTAACAGCCCGGAGAAGAAGGACTCATATTCTTGTCACTTTAAGGCTGAATAGATCCTTCCCGTGTGAACCGAATCCGGACGCATGAGATCTTTGTTCAGCCAGAGGGGTCACTGGAAGACAGGCGTAATCTTTGGAATAGCAAAGGTCATGCATTTTTCCGTAGATGACTCTCCCCAGACTTTGGGGCCTACATCTCATCATGCACCTAAAAATCTTAATTATATATCCCAAGTTTCTATACTATTCTGGATTACTACTATGTTTCCCATGTACGATGCGATCACCAATATTCTTTGGACAGAAATACTGCATACTAGTAGCAGCATACAACTCGTAGACACACACCGCAATGACTGATTGGTGGTAGTTGACAAGGATGTAGTTGTTGTGCAGCCACTATGTCGACTGCTCCCTACACATACAGTACCTCCTATCCTCCTATACTTCTTATTATTCTTCCCGCATTGCTCTCTTCACCAGTATACATTGCTTTCCACCCCATATCAACGCGCTTTCTCCTGGCAAGTCACACGTCCGGGGATCTTGAACTGAGTTTGTTTCCCATTCGGGTTGGCTTACTGACCTGGTTGGCCAATTTGCTGCCATGAGAAGTAAGCGACCCTGCGCCGAAAATATTACTTACTGGCAGAGAATAACTTTATCACATACTATCAAGCAAATACTCAAGTATATACACGGTAAAGGAATTGCTATATTCTCCTCTAGGATGAGAAAAAGCATAAAGTGTGCCCATTGAATAGGCCCCAAATGCTGATGGGAGGCGGTGCATGGCATACGCTTATCGTAGCTGAGCAGAGCAGCCTTAAGCTTCACATTTGCTTGTTTGTTCATTTGTTTGGCTATATTCGCGATTGAAAATGCTTGCAAAAATGTCCCCTTTTGCTCGAACCTTTCTAAGAGCCAATTACTATGTTTTGTTCGCGTTATAACGATGGTCCTATCACTGATATTGTAGTAACTTGACACTTTAGAGAGGGTTTTTTTTTTTTTTTTTTTTTTGATCAAAGTGGTTGATATTACTATATCTATACGTTCTATCCATGACATAACCTGCAAATTGCTCATGGTACAATATCATTATTGGAAAGTTAAAAAAAGGTAACATGATGCGAATCATATGTATACTACAATAAGCCCCAGAAACACCTTACACCCGGCAAAAGGATTCAAAGCAGCCATCGAACCCCCACTAATCACTATCCAGAACAATAACCTCAGCCTCCGCATCCCCAACACTCTCCACACTCAGTACATCACCCGCATTCACCCCTGTGATGAACGCTCCATCACCCTCACTCAGAACCGCCTCGTCCCGATGATCCAACCGGATCTGGGCCTTGCCGTTCTTCGTCATGGGCAAATGCACATACACGTTCCTCTTCTTCTTGCGGCTAACCACGTCTTCGCCAGCACCGACAGTCCACTGGAACTTCTGCCCGGGTTCAATGATTCCCGCGCCCATCACAAAGTCTGCGTGAATCGGGATCGTGTCTGGGATCTTAGGGACGGCGGCTTCCTCATCGGCAGGGGTTGCTTCGGGCCCGGCAGCCAGCGGGGAGAGGATCGGGACGAATGCTTTGCGCTTGGCGGCTTCGTCGAATGTGCGGGTGTGGTATTGAGGCTTGAGGCCATGTTTCCAGGGAAGAGCCCAGATCTGGAGAAAGTGGACGGGCTTGTTAGATTCATTTTGTTCGGAGTGTGCGATTCCTGAAGTGAGTTGTGTTAGTTCGGTCGGTTCTTAAGGTAGTAGAGTTCAATGCAAACAACGTACCTGTTCCACCAGTGGTGAATTGAACGTCACCACGCTTCATGCGGTAGAATTGCTTGCCCTGGGCGCCTTCCGCACCCTTTTTGATCATGCTGTCGCGGTGCGTGAGCTCTCCGTTGAGGATGTAGCTGAAGATTTCGGCATCGCGGTGAGGGTGGGTCGGGAATCCATTACGAGCCGCTACACGATCCTCGTTGAGAACGCGCAGACTGCCAAAGTTGTTGAAGCGGTGGTCATAGTAACTGGCAAAACTGAAGGTGTGGAAGCTCTTGAGCCAGCCGCCGTGTTCGGCGTACCCGCGCTCACTAGAGCGACGGGCGACAATGGAAGCGTGGGCAAGAGGTTTGGACATAACGGAGTTGGTGGGAAGAACTGACTTGATAAGGAGAAATATTAAAGGAACAAAGAATAGGAGGAGATAGGATGGTGTTGCAATTTGCATTCTGAAGAAAGTATTTCGTCGTTTGTCTAGATCGCTGATCGACTTTATACTCCTGGCCAGAGATCCGGGATTGGCTCGGGCGGGGCGCGGATGGGTAAGTAAGCATGGGGTAAGACTGACTAAGGGGCCCAACCAGCAAATGCCAGCGCCGTCCATCCCGGTTGCAAATCACTGACTGAGCATTTACAAAGTAGGTAGGTAGCTTCTGTTTTGCTGATAGTGGCTGAGCTTCACATTCCAAACGTTCCACCATGCACCGCTAGTGCTGAGCACGAGTCAGTCGATCATTACATTTTCTTTGTTGATGGTCGGTAAGATTTTATGACATTGATTGTGATTGGCTGAAATGCCAGTGTGTCATGATGTCATAATCGCTCTGGCCGGTCAGCATCAGAAAAAAAGGGACGGCTCCAGAGTTTGAGATTTGCTTATGGATCCTCCGTCTGGAATTTTCTCTCGTCAACCTTCCAGCTTCTACCGTCTTCGCGCTGCCAGAATGTCACAGTAGCCTCTCCCGTGTTCTCATCGGGCAATTCGACATGAACATCTGAGATGCGACACAGAGAAGACAGGATTGTAATTGAACTACCCGCTTCTGGCAGGCTGAGGAGATCCAAGCTTTTTCCACCTGTAAAGCTTGCATCGATATTCCACTCTTCATATGTAACTACCTCCTCCGCAATTCTAGCAGTGAGGGCACCATTCCATATGCCCTCACGGTGAGGTGCCAATCGAAGCAACCCGATCGCGTGTCGTCGGATCTGAGGAATCCGGCACTTGATTGCAGTGTAATATAATGGCTGGATGAAGCCAATGTCCATCGTAAATGCCATCCCCAATGGGCAATCGAGAGATCCACTCGTCGGGAAATCTGGGTATGCGGTTCTGAGGGCTTGACATATGTCGATTGCCTCGCGGATAATGGAAATGAACCTGTCGGTCTGTAAGTCGAACGCCGTTTCGTCGTCCCATGGCGTGCAGGTCGTGGTCATGATCAAGGCCATGGTATGGTACATCACGAGTAACCTTGTAGCCAATGTACTTTTAATCAAATCTTGAGCTGGAAATCCACCAAGTGACGATCTATAAACATCAAGCCATATTTTCAAGTCCTTTTCCAGGCGCCATTGAGACTCAAGATATTGCTCGTAGCCCCGAGTCGCCACACACATGCCCGTCTCGATGTGACGAGCCAATTCCACCAGACACTGTGCTCTTGCTAAGAGAACATCCAGGTATTGTCTTGCTTGTTCAGTTGACTCAAATTTGTACGGTAAATGACGAGATTGGATGTCATAGTCAAGGTTCGAGTATTTTGTCCCATGTCCAAGCAGAGCATAGTGCACTCCCAGTCTGCTAAAGGCCTCGATAACATCATCCTCATTTGTTTGCGACGAAGTCCTTATCATAATCTTTCCGGTCTTAGAGGTTCCGGAGAGTTTTTGAATCTCCTTCACCAGCTTCAGCCCGTGCTGTAGATGAGCATGACTCGTTCGGTATTGGCCTCGCATCAGTTCGAGAGTCACGAATACCATGCAAGTAATGAGGGCAACCATCACACTCTGCGGTCGTTGGCTGTGGCGTCTCATTTCAGCATGGAGACAGCCAATAGCTTTGTTGTAGTGTTGAAGAGTAAACTTCTCATGCTCGCTTAGCTGGCTCGCCATTGTAGTACCCTTGTCGCTCCTCTGAGCCCTATATCTATGCGTAGAAGCCAATGCCATAACAGCATGTCGCACTGCTGGCTCTTGAGAAAGTGCTTGAACAACTGTCCTGCCCCAGAATTGGGAAGAAAACACTCCTCCGATCTTGAAAATGGTACACTGGATGAACCATTCCACACATTTCTGTTCAGCACATGCGGCATGGGGAATTGGTACCGGTGCATTGTAACTAGACAGAAGAGACTGGAAAACCCTCGGTGCGCCAGAATTACCGCCATGGGTGGTTTTCCTGCCTTCGCTCCAAATTCCATAGCCATCGCAAACGCGACCGGTTGACACGCACCTCTTGCACGCCGGTCGACCCTCGTCGCATTTGACTCGACGGATCCTGTGTATAGAATAAGCACTATGTCAGGTAGTGTAACAAGGCAGCCGCCCAACTCACTTGCATGTCCGACAGCCAGATTTGACTTTAGGTTTGCTCGCACGGCGCTTCTTCTCGGATTCCATTTCAGCGCTCAGCAACTGGTTCGACTGTTCGCGGGGTTGCCTTGGTACTTATGAAAAAGCTTGCCGCTATGCAAGTTAGTCACAGGCTTAGTCGAGGAAAAGTCACAGCAGCAAAAGAAAGCAAGATAGGACAAGTAGGATAAGTTGCCGACAGGCTGCCTCGCTGCCTTGGAGCCGACCCGCTAACCCTGTCTCTCATTGGCCCGCTCGTAAAATTCTCATTCGGATTGGTCACTCAGGGCCCACTTATCAGAACTAGTTGCTCTTGCTCTCCCTCATCTTTGTCGCTTCGTCTTCATCTTCTTCTTCAATTCTACAATGAACTGACCAATAAGTCCGGTCGCTCACAGCTGTCATTACTAAAAGTCATTGCTATGAAACTAATGCAGGTGAAGTAGCACCTGATCATCTCAGTCAGCTCTATTCTGAATGTGCCCAAGGGCCTTTGCGGTGACCGACATCCAGTCAAACTCATCAATGCATGCCTGTTCCACAGCGTAATGGAGCTGGATCAATTCAAAATTCCATGGAGCTATTCAAGTAAGCTCAGGTCTTTCTCTTCTTGCCTTTTAGGTATCTTTGAATCTCTCACACGGCCAAAGCGGCTGTGCTGATGCCCGAGATTCCACGCTCGCCTTGCGCACTGTCTGACCCTCTAGAGCTGATGCTCTTTGGAATATTTCCTAGGTCAGAACTCCTTTCAAACCCTGTCAATCAATATGTCATCACTTGCTATATTTTATTCGATCGTGGCAGTAACTGATGATAGCGATTATTCTTTATACTGCAGAGTGAACTGGCCATGAGAAATCAAACCAGTGGATGCTCTATATAGCAGTCAATACTCTGGTATGCAAGTGTGCTAGAATAAGCTTCTTGACAAGCTTTAGTGGGCTTGAAGCTGATCAGATAAGCTGAGAGTGGAAGGTAGTTCATGCCTACCTCATAAACCTATTTACGTCTTAACAGTCTTTATTTGATGCGAAATTGTCCCGTGTGTCGACGTCCATGTGGGTCTTGTAATACCTTGGACTTTTGATCTGACAAGGTGTCCATTTCAGAAGTTAGAGTCACAATAGATGGTCGGATACATCATGTACAAAATAATTATAGGCCGAGGTTCGCCGTGTACGGAGCTCACATGTCGGTTAGCTGCAAGGACCGGCCTATTGGGTGGATGTCACTACGCTCGAGCAATCATCGAGCTGCATCAATCTTATGGCGTGACGCACCAACTTGACTAGATAATCCTGTCGGGCCATTCAGCTTACACCGCCGGCAATGTTCCTGGTCATAGTGGCTGGCGTAGCCACGGTTAGCCATCCCAAAGTACTGGAACCGGAGCTTGGAAGGAATCGGTTGACGGTTTAGTGTGCTTGGAGTAAATGCCAGTAAGAATGCCAGTTGTCTTCCTTAAGGTACTTAATTTCCCCAATAAATTGCCTTATCCGCGTCATCCGTTTGCCTAGTGGCTCAGGACAATAATACGCCTGTTCTATAGGGTCGGCTGGATGCGACACTTTCATTTAGCTTGCTACGTGGTAGATAAAGCCCCCTGGAAGCGAGCCCAAACTGGCGTGCATTGTTCGGTCTTATCTCTTATCTTTGCGGTCTTTATTAAAGCCCTTGCCGCATGCATTTGCCTTTAATCTCCCGTTTCATTGCACGAAAAGAAGTGGGCTGCGTTCTCAAGATGGCTCAGTGGGATGGTCTGATCGCTGACAAACTAAGGGACCGTGCATCCAAGATCCCTCCTGAATGGGTTCTTCCCGAGACAATTATAAACCAAATTACCCAAGATGCCAACATAAGTGCTTTCGACATCCTTAGACATCATGATTTGCTGTCAAGGGAAGAGGTGGCTATCACAGAGTCCTATGACGCTCAAAGCCTTCACCAGGAGATCATCGAAGGCCGATTGACCTCGCTCCAGGTTTGCAAGGCCTTTTGTAAGAGAGCTGCTATTGCACAACAGTTGGTATCTATGTATATTTCAATCATATCATGATCGGCTCAGCTAACGCAATTACTCAGACAAACTGTGCGACTGAGATCCTTTTTGCCGAGGCGTTCAAGCGAGCAGAGTTTCTTGATGGATATCTGGCCAAATATGGAAGGCCTTATGGACCCTTTCATGGCCTTCCTATCAGTGTCAAGGTAAGCCTTCGGTTCCAGTCGCAAATTATCTCACTTGGATTGGCAATTACTGGAGCGGATACCCTTACTAGCACCATGACCACGAATCTCACCACGCAACAGGACAGCTTCAATATCAAAGGCCAGGCTACAACAATTGGCTTTGTTTCTTTTCTGGGGAATCCAGTCGCAGCTGAAAACTCGCCCCTAGTTGATATTCTCCTTGCTAACGGCGCCATCTTGTACATCAAGACAAATATTCCACAGACACTGTTGGTACGAAGATGCCGTTTCTTTTGTCTCGCGGTTCGCTGCTAACACTTGGTCCCCTTGAAGACCATGGATAGCGTCAACAATATTTTTGGAAGAACACTGAACCCTCACAAGCTTTGCCTCAGTGCAGGTGGGAGTAGTGGGGGTGAAGGTGCTTTGGTGGCCTTCCGAGGTTCCATACTAGGAGTAGGCACAGACGTCGGAGGATCCATTCGTGCACCGAGTCTCTGCAATGGCACATATGGCTTCAAGCCCACAGCTGACCGCATACCTCACGGGAGAGTCGAATTAGGGGACAGGCCGGGTACACCAGGGCTCGTCTCGGCAGTCGGTCCACTCGCCAACAGTGCATCAGACCTGACTTTCTTCTGTAAGACAATACTTTCGTCGGAACCATGGCGCTATGATTCCACCGCTCTTGGGACGGCTTGGCGGCATGTGCCCCCAAAGAAGAAGCTAAGCATTGGGGTCTATATGGGTGACGAGCACTTCCCACTATTTCCCCCTGTCAAACGAGCACTTTCCTCCGCACAGGCTGCGCTTGAAAATGCCGGTCACAGTGTCCATCTTGTAACCAATGCTCCATCCTTTCACGATGGTCTAAAGCTGGCGGCACGGTACTTTTTGTTCGATACCAAGCAGACCCTTCTGCAGCACGTTTTGGATGGGGATGAGCAACCAATCAAAGCATTGGAGTATGCCTCTCCAGCTGCTCTAGCTGGATTACAGAATCCTACACTGACGTTAGACGATGTCTGGGACGCCAATGCTTCCCTTATGGCGTACCGGGAGAAGATGGCTGAAGTTTGGAAACAACATAATCTAGACGTCCTCATTTGTCCGGGTCACTGGTCAACTGCAGGCCCACATGATACTTATGGGCCGCCGGTATATACGGTTATTTGGAATTTGTTGAATGTAAGGGAACTCAAACATAAATTGCTCTGATGTATCGTGCTGATGCAGGATATTTTAGTTTCCCGCGAGCATTATTCCGTATCTGAAGGCTGATAAGTCTCTGGATTCGGAGGTATGCAAGGGTTGTAAGTCTTTTCGTTGACCTAGCCATAAGTTTCAGCTGCTTATTGCGATTATAGATGATCCTGATGCAGTAGATGGGGCACCTACTGCTATCCAGGTTGTTGGGCGGAGGTTTCAGGATGAGGAAGTTCTGATGGCTACTGAAGTCATTGACAAGGCTCTTCGATCTGACCTACGTTACCGTCCAAGATTATGACCTGACGAAAGCTTCCTCAATTTGCTTCCCTTTTTTTGAGTTCGAGATATAAGGATCATCTTAGTTCACGCGACTGGGCTCGCTATTCGGCGTGATGGAGACAGCCTGTGTATATAAGTGAGAAAGTTTTCTTCGTGGATGACTGTAGGCAAAGCCATCATCTAGGACCTTTGCTTTCGTGACATTTTCTATATTATCTTATTTACTTCCAGTTAGCTATAGTTTGCATACTAATTAGAAACGAATAACGATTGCTCCCTTGCCTTATATACCCAACGTACTCGATGGAGATAACCAGACCTGAACCAGACGCAGGATCAGTCCCTGCATGGCAAGCAATCAGTATATACAAGACTAGGAACAGAACTTTGAGAAGTTTACACAAGGTCCCATTAGCGCTACGTGAAGCCTGTGAAAGAGGATGAAAGCAAGAACTGATAGGTCCGGTTGTCGGGCAACGCTATAAGCCATCCACTCCAGCAGATGGGGACGGTGAATGACATCACGGATAAGAATGATCCGTTCCGAGATGGGGTGTTAGTTTCATAGGCTCCCTACTATCTATACAAAACTTTTCTCTATGTTGTTTCTGAAGAGCGCGTGAGTGCAGGTGTTGCAGTCAAAGTCGTGTTGTGAGGTTGTGGTTGGTGTGCTTGCACACGAACTGAGCTGATACAACGAATCTGTATTCTCTCTGCTCTTCGGCGTGCGAATCTTCAATATTAACAATCGTCTGTCCTACTACTATTGCTCACGCGAATAATCACTCTCAAAGGTACTTCTCATCATGCCAGTTACCTCACAGGTACTAACGCGTTCCTTAGCGAAGAGTCAATAACCAGTCAAAATGGCTGAAAATGATAAGCAAAACCCGGACACATCTGATGAGGGTTTATACGATTTGTGAGAAACACCATTCTCACAATAGACTTAGTCGGTTGGTTTTATTCATTGACTAACGGAACTATTACTAGCATGGTCCCTTTGTGCCCCGGCCCCTATGTTACTATTCAAGTCGGCAACAACGGGGCCAAGTACAAAGTATCCCGTCCTCTCCTCTGCAGACATTCCTCCTATTTCAGAGCAATGTTCGATAGCCGTTTCAAAGAGGGCAACGAGCAAGCAGTAACCATGCACAAGATCAGAGGCGTTGTCACTGAGCGTAGCCTCCTCATGCTCCTCCAGTGGCTGTACCTCAATCGTATCGAGTTTCCATCGCAGATCCAAGGAAGATGCATCAATGCGTACATCGAAATGGCTCGACTGGCGGACATGTGGCGCATCACAGGCATGGAACAACTTCTGGCTGATAAGATCAAGACCATCATTACCAGCTCTATTCCCCGAGTTAACCTATCCTGTGCCGGAGGAGAAAACGGAAAGATTCGTCTCCTGACTTCTAGCCATATTAAGTCGGCCTCGATGTTGTTCAAGGGTCATCCAGTCCGCTCTCTTATTGCTGAGGCTTCGGCCGGTCCCTTCATTCTCATGGAGAATTTCAAGTTCGCCAGAGAGCTTCGTGAAAACGCCAATTATGCTGGTGACCTGCTTGACGAACTGAAGGATTTGATCAAAGGGCAGGTTAAGGATAAGAGAGTCATCACTCCCTACACCCTTCATTATTGGAAGAATTCTTGATTGGGTGAATGATACCTCTTAGGAAGCACGAGGGGATTTTCAACGAATGTGGCTGGAATGCACTGTCACGGCTCAGCGCGGTCAGCAGGAATAAGGATATCTGCCTGTTCTATGTGGAAGCTTCTTCGTGTTCTTTTTCTTCTATCCTCTCATTTGATTTTTCATCCAAGCAGCAACTAGTCCGCTGGATTTATGACTTTGTCATGGGATTTGTCCTGGTGGAGTCGCTCTTTTGTGTATGCAGCTAAAAAGGGGCCGCTTTTTCTTAGCTCAGGATAGCGACATGCTGATATTTAGGTAGTCATAATCACATTAGCGGGCTTAATGAGGCCAATGGAATATAAAATTATGAATTAATTCTCTAAATTCTATAATGCAACTGGCAGAGCATTTCTGCTAAGCCGTGAAAGACTTATACGATGTCACGCACCAGACGGTTCCAGGAGAATCAAACAAGGAGATGCTTGCAGGAGGCCATAAAGACACGGGATATTCATGCCGGAGAGGCAATTTACCCCACTATCTCCAGCATCGAATGAACCATGGATATGATAGCACAGCTTCGCTATTCTAGTCAGCTGCCAGAAACAATCCCAATACAAACAAAAGGGGCTTTGCAGGCTTCTTTTCGCATCTGAAATGGCAAGATCAACCTACAAGTAGCTGAAAACAGTCGGTGAGAATTTCCTCTTCTTTCAAGCCACAAAAACAATAGCGCGCTTGGGCTTCGTAGTGGCTTTGGAGGCGTATAGGGCAAAAGTGCGGCCTAGAATGTTCTGAGGAGACGATGTTGTGGCCAGAAACGGTCTAGCTATGTTTGCGGGGGTCACATGGAAGGAGAGGTTTTTGCTCCTTCTATTTTGTACTTCGGATTCTACTTTCCCCTCCGTTGTGGATTTACAGGATTCTGTCTTCTTTATTCTTGGAATGTATTCCATTGGGCTTCGTTTCACGGTGAAAACTACGATATGGAAAGTCTCGACTATATTTTAAACTTTTTTGAAATTGATCTATACCGACTCTATATCACCGGGGTATCTTCTATATACAGATGCTTTTTCTTTTTCAGTCATGATGAAGATCCCAGTCTCGCTAGGTGTCTTCGTGTGGTTTCATAACGCATGAATGTGCCTTTGTTTCGTTTTGAAGCACCCATGACATGGGAATAAGGGAGGTGAAGAGTATTTGATGATCCAGCGTCGCTTTACTCGGCACTTTCTCCTTCCACGCAACTCTGGCTGCCTCGGAACGACTTCCTTCCTCGTGCAAACCAGTCAGCCAGAACAATGAAGATAACGACACCGTAAACGGCCGAAACATAGTTCATATCTGCAGTCCGGTTAGTCACTCCATTCATCGTATATCAATGTTTGACATGAATACTTACTTCCTGTTGTGACTGGCATAGTCGAAGGGAACGAGTACATAACGAGACAGAAGAGAGTCCATGCCAGGGTGACATAGTTCGCAGCAAGACCCCACTTGCCCAGCCAGAATGGGCCGTGCTTGATGTTGTCACGACCAACATACAAAAGGCAGATGACGGGGATAGAGTACGACATGTACAGAAGCGAGATGCATGCCGTGACCATACTGTTGAAAGCGGTAGAGGATCCCAGGTAGAGCAAGCCGAGAACAGCAACAATGAATGCGCTGGCATTGTGGGCGTGCAAGGGGACATCCAAAGTCATGTTGACCTTGGAGAGCAGCTGGTGTCCAGGCATACCGCGATCACGAGCGAAGGCCCAGGCAAGACGTGACTGCCAAGTGTGGCAGGCAATCAGGCAACCCATACCCGTCACCACTAGGAGAGTTTCCAGAACAATTGCACCTGCCCTGTTCCTCAGAGCTTGGTAGTACAGTTCCAAAATTGGCACTCCTGTGGCGGTGTTCAATAGTGCATCGAGGTCGTTGAGACTGAAGAACATCGCGATACAGTAGGTCCAGGAGGTAACGAAACCGATGCCGACGGTGGCCATGATCGCAACAGGAATGTTCTTCTCGGGCTGCGGCACCTCTTCGGCAAGATGAGTGGCCGAATCCAAGCAGGCAAAGATCCAGTTCGGGTTAATCAAACCGACAATGAAAGCGATTCCATCCGATTTCCAACCAGTGGAGTTGACGAAATGCCCAAAAACATAGGATCCGCTGGCATGCGGGTTGGCGCAAGCCGGAACAACGATAAGGATGACCAGGAAAGAAAGCAACGAGATGTATAGCGTCGCTTTTGCCACAGCAGGCAGGGATTTGCCCCAACAGTTGAAAAGGTAGCAGAAGAAGTTGATGAGCTGGTATGCCACTACCGTATGCCAGGCCTTTGGAACACTGTGGATGGAGTCAGCACTACGGACCTAGAGCGGAAGACACTTCCTCTCAGAGAGCAAATATGGGATTCGGAAGCATACAATGACGGGTGACCAAGTTGCCACATTCCCACAACACCAGATCCAAGACTGAGCGCAACACTGGCACTCGCGAAAATGGCACCAGCATATCCAAACCAGCCGGTAAGATAAGAGAAGAACCGGGCATATTTCCTCGGAGCAAGCTCGTTCGCCCAGAAATATTGCCCACCGGCATTGGGCATGGAGCTAGCCAATTCCGAGAGGGAGGCAGCGACACAAGTCGAGATGAAGGTGATCCAGAGCAAGCCGTAAACGATGAGAACAGTACCTCCAGAGCTGATACCGGTGATCAAGGAAGCCGAGATACCGAACCAAGAGTTTGACATACAGAACGCAATGCCGACCAGTGAGAGCAGGGAGAAATTGCGCTGCAGGTCCTGCGTGTAACCCATCTCAGCCAGCTTGAGCGCATCTGCATCATCAGATCCAGACGCATTCTCGCCGGTCGAGGCCTGGTTAACGCTCAACTTCTTTTCTATATCAAGACCACTCATTGTTCCAGACAATTATAGTAAGAGTCAGCGTTCAATGACAAACGTTGTGAAAGACGGATTTGGCGCAAAGGGCAATCGAAAGTCGCTAGGCTAGACTGCCGTGGCTGCAGGGTAATCGCGTAGGAGGTCCTCGGGTCTAAAACGCTTAGATCAGGGCCTGTTGCATAAGGGCTTAGTTTCTCGGAGACGCTCGGCAATATGTTGCTGTTGGACAGTTTGGGTGCGGTGGCACACGTTTCGTGGGACTCGGATGTCGCAAATGGGTGTCGAAAACAGTTGTTGTTAAAGTCGCAAGGAGGGCAGATCAACTTGTCGCAGGAGGGCTGAGAGGTTGTACCCGACGATACGGCGATACAAGGATACAAAACGCCCGAAGCAATCGGATTTACAGAAGTCAATCTGTGTTTCGCTGGGTGTGCTTTGAGCTATCAACAAAAGCGGATTGGTGTGGAACAGGACAGCCAATGCGGAGGATGATGAAGCACTAGACCTTCGCCGCGAAGCTCGCAGAGAAGGACAGTTGCAAGAGGAGATGAACAAGAAGGGTGGGAGGAGAGATGGAGGAAGAGAGTGTTCGAAGTTGTTATGAGGGTTGGGCCAAATTGGGATGCGTAAGAGTATTTAAGATCAAAGAAGATCTTTTTCATTTTCTCTTTTTCGCTCTTTTCCCCCTCCTTCATCTTCGAATCAAGCCTCCTTCGGCGTACCCACCAGTCTTACGACGGAAGGGTTCCCCATATCCTGTTTGCTTCTGTTCGATGACGCTCCCCCATCTTCTGCCACTCCAGCAGTGACACTAACCATAACGGACATGGTTATGCAGACGCAGCCAAATCTCGTGGTTCCGATTCGTGTTTCGACCGCCTCATATCGTCATTAGAGGGTCTGTCCGGCCGGGAATTTAAGGTAGAGCGCTCAACAACCAACACATTGAGACCTCTAGTCAATTAGTGGCCCTTTTCTTACCAAAAGGCTCCTGTGGTGCTGGTGCTGCCGTTGGTGGAACTGCGCTTGAGGTTCGGTGCCGCAGACCATCGAGGGTTTTCGTTGGCTACTCGCTGCTGCAGGGAGTGGCGGGCCCCCCACTTGGTGCCGTTGGTGGGCTTGGGTTCCGACGGCAGATTTTTACCAGACTGACTTCCTCTGGACACAGGACACTTCTACGAATTGCACGTTTCTGTGCCTGTGTGGCGGTGGAAAGGCAGCTCCGCTTACGGAGCTTCGTATCCTTTCTTTTCATTCTGCTTGTATTATCGCACTCGTCATACCGCCTGCAGAGATGAGCGTGTGCAGAAACCGCGCACCAGTTAGGCCAGTCGGAGTTATTACCCCTTGGGCCCTTAGCAGTCTGCCAGGACCGGGCCGAGCTTAGGGAAAAGTTTCTCAATAACCATCACCAACTCCTCTGGAGACGAAAACTCCCTCTGGCAATCACATCCTGAACTTTCTTTATCGTGACATCAACCCCCAATTTGCCAAGTAGCTAAGGTCAAGAAAAACCTGGGCTTTATTGAGTATAATTTCACATCACCATACACTGAGGCAAAGAATGAATCGGATCGGAACCCTCCGGTCTTCTCGTTGGGGCTGTATCCGAACTTTCTCCAGCGGACCAGCTTCGACGGTCTTTCGCTACTAATACTGTCTGGGTTAGCTCGATTGGCTCGCAGCCGGAGCCACGCAGTGGATCTCTAATCCAATCTGAGCCTCTCATTCGCAAGCAGCGGTCGTCTAAGAGCACGAGAGGAGAAACATTTGACTAAGAGAATTCACCGGCCGACCTTTGTGAATCGAGGCATTTTCTTGGTACTCTTCTCGGTCGAATAAGAAAGGCAAGTTGGCCGCTACCTAGTGTACCTAAAATGCCCGATTGAAGGACGCTAGATTAGTATCAAACCCGGGCGACCCGACACGTCGTATGGCGTACGGAGTAATCAGTAATCCCTCCTTCAGAGACTCTGCTTCTTCCTGTGCAGTTGGTTGCACTGCAACATATATAATAGAAATAAGAAGTTCTAACTGGTGACCGATGTGATGACTTAACGTGGGAGCAGACGCATGCACGACATCAGGGACCTCAGCCACAGAATCCTCCCGCAGCTAAAGCTGCCTGGGACACACCTATCGTTAAGTTTCCTTTTTAGGGCCAGCAACCGTTGCCTCTCCGAGCGGACTAGGCCATTAAGTTTCCGGTGCCCGTTTTACAATGCCTGACCCGACGATCGTTACCCTGCACCCTAAGCATCTCCGACTTCACAAAACGATGAACAGCCACTTCGTTGAAACATTTACTAAGCGGCATGTTAGAAAAATTTTATGCACCATTCCGATCTTCCGAGACGTCCATCCAACACATCATGCCTGTGTACGCCGCAGAGCGGCAGAATACGTCCTGTCCAAGACAGCCATAAACTACTATAGTCGTAGTAATATTTAACCAAGCCAATCGACTTAAGCCGGTCATCAGCCGGTGCCTCATTTGTATCCGCCACGAAGCTGGGGCCGTAGGATTCCTTTCCCGTCTGGGGGATAGCGCCTAGATAAGATTGCTTTGGACGCACGACTCTTTACCGTATTTAGTAAGTCTTCATTCTCTCTCCATCGATCTTACTTTGTAGCTGCGCCTGTTTTTCAAATAGGCTTCACCACCGAAAATAATGGATATTTTTACTGTTTTAGGGGAAGGATTGCCGGGTGCTCTAGTACAAAGTAGTACATAGTAGTGGGCAGCGGCGAGTGATCGATAAAAGTCGCTGATATAGGTGTCTACTCAGGATACAGTTAGACAACGGAGTACTTCCCTCTGAACTGTCAGGGTAGTCGGCCCACTCGCTCTCGACGGTGACATTTTTGGACGCTTTTACGGATGGATACTGTTTGTTGAACTAGGGACGTTGATCCGTTGACATGCCCACAGTACTGTCGCATCAGATAGAAATGAATACGCGTCCTCTCAGCCGTCGCTAAGCATTTAGTTTGTAGTATTCAAATGTTGAAATTGATTCGAGCCGTTGGAATAAATTAATGATGGACCGTTCACTCACCATCCAGACTTCCCTTCGGCTGAGGGTCCTTTCGCTCGGTCGCTTTGGTGCTTGAGCAGCTTATCCTAGCAATTTTGGCCTCGAAGGTCTTACTTTATAGATGATTAGTGTAGTTATTGTGGATTGGGGGTCCGTTTCAACGGTCAAGCTTGTGTTGTACTAACACTATAGTACTCTAGGTGGGAAATCATTGATAACACGCCGATACTACTGTATAGTGTAGGCTTACGTACGGAGAATTCATGTTATTATCACTATAATATAATTATCGGATTGCAATGCGTCGCACAAGATCTAGTTGAAGGGTTATATTGTTTCGAGGCTGTACGACGACAAGGATATAACGGGCGGTCGCAAGGATTTACCAGGCACTTTGAAGATAGTAGCTGAAGGGATAAATAATATCGGGCAAGGTCGGCGGAGTTTGGGATATTGTGTATTATGTTTTGTGGTATGATGTTGGAAATATGAGAATTTCAATTCTTATTCGTGATGGCCTTTTTATCTTATTATGGTTAGTCGTTCAATAAATAGTAGTGTTGATCGGTAGGGTTCATCATCGTTGTAGTACCATTCATTATTGATCACAGGAGATGGCAACTGTAAATATATGTTGCCGCCTCGGTCGGGATTGTCCCTGGAGGTTCATTTAATTCTCCCGGCGATGATTCATCTCGATCGGATGGGAATATGACCGTATCGTGAAACTCGTCCTTGTTACTACTTTGTTTATATCTAAACGTATGCCTTGGATATGAATATTCCTCTCCTGCATCCTTTCAATACGATGTGATTGTTTTCCATGCATCAGCCCTGATTGCTGTCAAACAGAGAAAGCTGTTTCATCTTCCGAATGTCGCGCGCGTACAAAGAAATATTCCAGCGACACAACCAACCCAGTAAAACTCACATATGACACTCTGGACTAGCTAGCTAATCTACAATTCGTAGTAAACTTGCTTCCGCGATAAGCTCAGAGTAGAGATGCGTCCGGATCTCCCATCTGCAGCCTGCAAGCTGCAGTTTGCGACCGACGGAACAGCAGCACGCTAGGCCCCAACCAACCTCCCTAGTGGCTTGTTTAGCCAGGAACACCCGGTGGTTTGGTCCCTTGTTTCCCCTGGCTTTCCCTGTTGCAGGTTGCTGACCGGGCGCTTTTCCCTCCACAGTCTGACCAAATAAACTGTTTCATGTTCCTTCACACCAACTTGTTAGATCGCTGATCTGCATCTTCTATAGGATAAGCCGATAAATTATGGCACTCCTGAGTATGCCCCAACCACATCCGACGAACTGCTCCCACCACTTGGGCCAGCGAACCAGAAGTAGGAGTTGCAGGGCTGCTAGGCCACTCCTCGAGGCGCACTGCCCCCCTTGGCTGCTCCTGGGGAAAATGAATTCGTTCGCTTAGATTTAGCAGCGCTCGCTTGCCAGGCAGGATGCTGGACTAATTGATTGCATCGGGATATGGATAATTCTTCGGGTTCTTTGCGAATGTCTCTTTATTGTGGATGGGATAAGAAAATAGAAACTACACTAATCTACGCGACATGAGTTCACCTTGCAAGTCCTGCACCCGATCGGCGCGATGATGCATGACTAGCGACAGCAGATAGGATTGTGCGACACCCCTCGAGAGCTTGGTACACAGGCAGGAGTAGTTACTGAACTGAGTGGGCCCTTCAATATCCCTAATTTATACAGAGTTCAGGTCTGTCGACTCACTAGATCTCCCAACAACCAACCACAAGACATTAACTGTGATCCCTCTTAAATTCTTTCCCTGAGAGCCATATTATCTGCTGGAATCTATGTTTAGCAGACGAAGAGTGTAACACTCTGAGTGCGAAAAATGGGACCATGGCCATTGTCTGACCCTGGTTTGTGACTGCGCTCAGCTTACATTGCTAGTAGCTTGCCGGGATGGCCAACTTTCCTGATCGGCGGACGGTTCCTTTATAATGTATCTATTTACCCCTCCTGCTCTTGAGCAGTCCTTGGCTTGCCCTGCCCTTTCTTTTTGCCACTCCTCTATCACGATCTTTCTTGTCTTTGTGCCTTAGGGACGCCTTTTGACGTCCTTCCGCTCTTTAAAAGTTGTTTACGCTCTAACATTTCGCAAGATTTGCCATTCTTTTATTTACCTTCTAGTCAATTCGTTCGTTCTTACTATTTGAGACGAGTTCTGGTTGATTCCAGCTGATTGTTCGTGGCAAGGACATGAGTAATGCAACTGAGTACTAAACAGAAACCCTAGATTCCTGGTATCAGTCCCATTCCAAGGAATCAACAAGACAAGTATTGATCGGCGAACGTCACCCTTGTTTATCCTAGGGAAGAGAATGTAAGTTGTTACTCTTCCTTCTTTTCTCTCCCCATAACGAGCTTGTTTGGTGGTTTTATTCTGCATCAGCCTTTGCCTTAAGCTGCATCCACGCGAAGGCTGGTGGCGAGTGAAGAGCGCAGCCACTGGACTTGGTATGCAAGGGATCCCCTTGCCTTCAGTCTGCCATCTACTTGAGCCCCGATCTTACAGATTGGGTGTCCGTTCCAGAGTTTGTCAAAACTATTCCAGATTGCTTTGTCATTGTTGTTGTTATTCCTATTCTTATACTATGGCTGCCACCCGCGTTGGCACTTGCTTTCCCTATACCAAGTAGTATTGACGGTTCCATCGCAGTGACTTTTCTTCCTTTCGACTTTTCATTCTTTGCTGGTCACTCCTTACTACATTTGATGGCTTGAAGCTTTGACTTATATTTTCGGCGACGCGTGTAGTCGATAAATTCGCTCATTAAACCGTACGCTCGCTACCGCGCGTTTATTCATCTCTCTCTCGCTCATTTGAAATACCTACTATCAACCATGCGACGAAACGTCGCCCTTGTGGCCTGTTTGGTCGCACTTTCTAGCGTTGCTGATGCCTTTTGGCGTCTCCCTTGTCGTGGACGAAGTGGTGTGGCTCGAATGGACCCCATAATGGCCCCCGGGAAACCATCAGACCACGTCCATGTGGTTCACGGATCAGGAGGTTCGTCCGGCTCCAGTGTGTCTGCATAATGGTGCCTCAGCTAAACTTGGCTTTATAGGTTTCTCTATGTCATCGGGCGAGACAGACCTGAACAATGCGGATTGTACCTCATGCGGGGTGAAGCAGGACAAGTCGGCTTACTGGGCCCCCGCGCTATACTTCATGCATGAGAATGGCGATGCTGAGCTTGTCAACGAAGTGGGCGGGATGCTTGCGTGAGTGACGAAGCCAATGTCCAGCGCAGTTATATGCTAACTGACTGTCACAAGTTACTACTTCCTCAACGGACAGAATGTGACGGCATTCCCTGAGAACTTTCGTATGATTGCCGGCGATCCGTTTCTGCGTAACTTCCCTTGGCCAGTTCCCGATCCTCCAAAGTCCGAGTGGTCTGGCAATCAATCATCACAGGACGCTCTTCGCCAGAAAGCTCTGGGTTTCAACTGCTTGAACTATAACAAATCTCCCGAGCCGTCGCTGGGCCGCCACTTCCTGCCAAATAAGACCTTCATGGATGAGCACTGTACTGATGGTGTCCGATTTGAATTGATGTTTCCGTCATGCTGGAATGGCAAGGATGTTGACTCCAAGGATCACAGGTCGCACATGGCCTACCCATCCCTGGTCATGGACGGGGATTGTCCGGATGGCTTCGAGACCCGCCTTGTGTCGCTCTTCTATGAGACTATCTGGGACACATATGCGTTTAAAGACAAGCAGGGCACTTTTGTTCTTGCAAACGGCGACCCAACTGGATACGGCTATCATGGAGACTTTATCTACGGCTGGGATGATGGGGTTCTTCAACAGGCAGTGAATAATTGCACCAACCTGTCTGGTCGGGTGGAAGACTGCGACTTATTCCATCTTCAGACAGATGCCGAGCAGGCGCAGTGCAACTTCACCATGCCAGAAGAACTGAAAAGCGAGAACGTGTACCTTCACAAGGGTGGCTTGCCGAACAACATTGCCATCCAGTATGGGCCTGCGTATGCAAGCCCAGTCCGGTATACCAATACTGGCCATCATACTTCGGCAATATTGCCCGAGCCAAGCATTGCTATTGGTGCTTCTCTCGATGGTGCTACTGTTGATCTTGGAAATATCCACATTGGCGTAACACTGGGCGCCCCGTCTACTACTTCTACTTCAACTACCCTCTCGACTTCAACTCTCCCATCCTCGACCACTTCAGCGACTTCAGCGACTTCAGCGGCTTCAGCCTACTTTCTCCAAACAACCACTTCAACTACACCAACCACCACCTGGACACCTACTCCTACCACCGCTTATGTCGAAGGCGTTGTCACTCAGAAGATCGTGTACGTTGAGCAGGAGATCCTCATCCTCACAGATGAAACGGGAGCACCTGTCACAACAGAGACGGGTGGATTGGAGACAGTCTCCACTTCTACATCCACGGTGAGCAAGGTTGTATCAACAGTCGTGACCACGCCAACCGAGGCTCCTGCTAAGCGCGATGACCATAGCCATAGCCATTCCCGGCATGTTCATCGGCGTCATCGTCACGGACATGCCCATCGAAGATGATCCATCTTACATTCTAAAAACGACTGGCGCGTACGATGACAATGCCTATGACATAAGCCCCCAAGCAAAAATCGGCCCTTTGGTCCGGTCTAGCTGGGTTAGGAAATCTCGAGCTGGTTCCCTTGACTTCGTTTCTCTAGATGCAGTTTCATTGTTTCGGTTCTCCATGTATGAATGTCTATAACATGTACATATTATTGTTTGTTCCTCCTTGTCTGGAACAGGTGAAATTCGGGCTACTATCTTGCTGTTCTCTTGATGAGAGCTGAGATATGTCTTGTCAGATATGGTGTCAAATATTATGTGGATGAATATTGTTCTGTCTATTGCAGTATGCTGGTCTATCCCGAATTAGCCTTGGAGCTCGAACCAGCGACATTACACATCTTTCAATGGTAATCGAGTGGGGTAGGCAGTTGGTCACTGGCTCTGTCAGTGAATTTGCTCGAGCCTACTAAGTTAACACTCAGATCTGAAGGCTAACACTCAGTGTGCCTGACCTTTATCTATCTCTGTTCCGCTAAACCACCCATTTCATTACCAATACCTTGCTCTCTCCGATCCAACAATACTCCATCTCCTTTACACAAAGCCTACCTCACATTTATCTCACAGATCCCTACGTCAACACAAAAGCCACACTTCCCTGACATGCCACTCAGAATCACACCCAGCCACAAAGCCGTCTACGTGCCGTCATCCGACACAGCACCCGACTCATCCGACCTGTCCGAGCTATCCGAAGACGACCATCTCGAACCTGACGACTCTGAAGACGACACCCTCTTCAACCATAACAACTACGAGATCGGCCCCGCAATAGCAACCAGACAACTAGGCATACACCATTACAATGTAAAGGAATGGGATACTCGAGACGCGTACCGGGAACTGTACAGACATTGGTAAGTCAGTACTACTATCTACTTCTTCTTCCAGCCCTACTTACCTCCCCTCCCCTCCAGGAAACAGACTATCACCAAATCCTTCGCCGTAGAAGATACCTTCCACCATGACCACTCAGAAACCCATAAGAATATCACAGTCAAGGCTTTAATCCCAACATGGCCCGGATATATGGGGTTCATCAGATACAGCAAAACAACAGGAACAATCACGTTCATTAATGCTGATGCCTACCTTTTACAATCCACATACACTCCTCAACATGAAGACTCTACTACCGACAGCAACAACGACACCCTCTTCCACTTCCAAAACGACCGACTCAAAGCCATAGCGTACGTCCTACTCCTCTCAGGATTCAACATCCAAATCACCTCTCGAAACTATATCTGGTCATTTAGCCTACCACTCACTCCAGTTTCCTCTCCCCCAGGCAGAAACATTCCACAGATATCATGTACCGTGAACACCCTAACCCACACCCACACCCATTTCCCCAGCAACAACACCCTCACCATAACCATCATCACCTCCCAAACCCTCCAACCACACACCTTCCGCACCTGGCTCCGCACATCCCTATACCTCACCAACCCATCCCAAAACAAAAACACAATCCCCACCCCCCACGGCACCATCCTCCTCGCCCCCACCAACTCCGGAACCCTCTACCTCAAGGGAATCCTCCTGCCTGAGTGCAACTTTCCCCGAGGAAAATACAAGTTTGGATATGATTTCCACTACGGGATACCCACTACGAGCGGACGACGACTAGCGAGCGCGGTACATGAACTCGATCTTATTTGTTGTATCTGGGATGCGGCAATTCGCGAGAAGCCCGTGTATGCGGTGCCGAGGTGTGTGGATATGCTTTTAGAGGGTGGAGGGGATGGGGGGTCGTGGGTGGTTGATGTTAGGGGGGTGGAGGATGGTGGTGGGTTGGGTGATGAGGCGGTTGAGGCGGTTTGGTGGGCGATTGTGGTGAGAGGGTATTATTGTTGTGGAGAGGTAAGTTTATTTTTTAGAGATTGTTTTTTTATTATATGGGAGGGGCAGGGTGCTGATGGTATAAGTAGTGCAAGGCTGGTGAGATTAGGAGGATGCTGGGGAAGGAGTCGGTTAAGGTTCCGGTGGGTTTGTGGGGGGCGTTTCGGAGGTTGGGGTTCGTAGGGAGGGTTTGGGAGAGGGATGGGAGGGATGGGAGGTGAGTGTTAGGTTGGATGTGGTGGGTTGGTTACTTCTGGAGGGATTGATTGATGTCTGTGATGGGTTGTATGAGGAGTGTGTAAGTAGGTTAGTGTTGTACTGATTTAAGTCAATTTGAGTATTATTCAATCCATTACAGCTATATGTACATCCACCTATAGCTAGGTGGTAACCCCCGGTTCAAGCAACTCAACAGCTAGTTTACTGGCAAGTTCCAGTGCTGGCGTTCTCCTCTTGCTATAACACGCATTCATCCCGTTAGCTCTATACAGGTGCCATTGAAGTAGATAGAAGGATACTCACAACGCAGAGTCCACTTTGACAGTTGCCCATGCTTCCGTCCTTGTTGCAGGTTGCGCCGGAGGGAAGCTTTAGGTATTTTTATCAGCACTCATGATCATATCATGTATGGTATAAAGCTGAACCTCAAACACGAGACGTGAGGGGACATACAGTAGCAGTGTTGCTCGCGGAGTTCGCGGCGGGAGAGGCAAGAGCAAGGCCGAGGAAGGCGAGAGTAGCGAAAATGGAGAACTTCATTGTGGCGGATTTGATTTGTGGTTTGGTTTGTTTAGAGAATGATTTTTATGAGTAGAGTAGTTGGGTTGGGTGGAATTAATGAGTGTGATGGATGGGACAGAGGTAGGCTGGTAGGGGCATTTATATGCTTCTGTGATGCGCGTTCACGTGAAGCGGATAAGAGTTATATCCATATCCTGGTCCAGACCAAACCACAATATTCGGAGTAGGTAGGAGGAGGGTGACAAGATGGTTACGCGCGTGCTGGGGGTGGGGAAGAAAGGGTAATGGTTCTGGAACTATTGGGGGTGATCTGCGGAGGATCAAGCGGAGATCATCAGTCAGGGGTGGCTTTCTGTCAGAAGTTAGAATTGTAACCAATGGTGTTCAACGGTTATTGCTTGAGCATGATGTGGGGGATAATGCTTTTGTTATGGAGAGAGAGAGGAAGCATCACGATATGTGGTGTGAAGTAAGTACTTAACAATATAGGTGGCGGTTGAGGGTTACGGGAGTTGTCTGTACCAGGCATTATGGGTAATTTTCTGTCCAATTCGATGCTGCGACTTACTAAGTTTCTATTCAAGGATACACTTACTCAGTACCCAGAATGAGTGAGCCACTTGATGTCTTCCAGCACGATGTTCCCTCCCATCTGGCAATGATCTCCCTTGGCATACATAATCACTCACGTTGGCTCCACACCCGCTATCCCTAGCGGTCGGATGGGTCAATAGACCAATGTCCATGGTCAAATAATTATCCGGGTCATTATTTGGTGTGTAAACTCAATCATATGCTTCTCGGCTAGGGATAACAGTACGACGAGGTGGAGAAGTGTTTGATCGATCGCTCCTGTGACTGCGTGGCTGGAATATTCCATGGATGGCCACTAATATAGTGCATGCATCCGCCTTGCTCCGAGAAGCATAAACACTAATACCAATGCTGCACAAGCTTGTGCAACAGCTCCTCGGCAAATGGGTTTGTCTGTCGAGCTGTGTGGCAAGACGGTTCTAGTTACTGTCTCGTTATGTTGGGCTCTCCCTTTCGATGTAGTGTGTCCGCTTCTCGGAAGTCCAGTATGCTCGGCACGTCTCGGCAGATGTACTTCTGTGCCCTTACCTCCATGTCCAACCTCAAGAGTGAGGCGGATGTCAGGAGTAAATGATCGGCATTTCATTGTCGCTGCCAGTTCGTCATCGTACAGGCTCGAGCTGTCACTTCCTGGTCGCTCTCAATGGCCAGGATCCCTGTGATCCTGTAAGTTCCCGATTCTTGATAGTAAACATGTGCGAGAGACATCATTATCCTTGCTGTTCCTGCAGGTATGGCTGTTCAAATGCCACCTGTGTTGTAAAGTGTGCACAACTGTAGTCATTAGCCGCCCGTTCACAGAGAGCGCAGATAGATTCCGAACTGGACTGGTCCTGGTAAATGAGATGGTGAATTACACGTCAACATTCGGACTACTGAGAGCCATTGCATATAGCTGTTAGAATATCCATTAATTGCTATATAGGCTGTTGGCGTTAGATAGTGTGAAAGTTTGATTATTAGCCTCTTGGATGTTTTCTAAATCACTAGCCAAAGAGTGACTGCATGTAGCAATTACCAAGGATTCCGCTTCTTTCGATCTGCAATGAGCCTGTCGCAGACAATGCAAGGTCAATCTCATCAAACACCATTAGTGGTCAGAAATATAAGGTTGGCTGTGTATAATGCCAGGATGCTAGATGGTATTCGGGTGCTTTGGCCGCGCCTGTCATACTATCATCGCGGCTATTCGTATCAGCATGCGGTAACTGGAGATGGAGCGCTCATAGAACAATGAGATATGCACTTATAGGTATAGCCAGCTATCATTGGATTCCTACTACTAGCTCGGTGTGATAATAAAGCGTTCAGGGAAGAAGTCCAGGTCGTGAAATGAATGTGCTACGTTGAAGCCAGAGCGGGCATGTCGGGTACCTGCCTTTCCGAACGCCGATGCTGGAGGGTTGCACCTTCCGCTTTCTCTTGCGATAACAACAACATCCATCCATTTCACCGCCACTACTTTCCATCCATTGCATTTGGCATTATGTCCTCAGCTCTGAATCGCTCTAGTCGACCACCTCTTGGAAGTATACGTCGAAGGACGAAAAAAGCGTGCGAAACCTGCAAGCTGCGTAAGCGGAAATGCGACGGCCACGAGCCATGCTCATTCTGCCTCAAATACGAATATGACTGCTCGTACGAGACACAACCACGGAAGAAGCCATCAAAGTCAAGCATTGCAAGACCCCCGAACAAATCACGCGAAAGGCCTTCCTCTCCGGCACTCGTGGCAAGGCCTGATGTCAATCAACAGCAGATGGAGGCGAACTCAGGCACAGCATTCCCTCACTTCCTGGGCAAGAGCTTGAACCCGCAGAACCCTCCAAAAGTGCACGGCTTTAGCTGGAACTTAGGCCTTCGACATGAGCCAATGCAACACTTCGCCAATATCACAAGCCTAGTTTCTAAAGATGAAATGAGTGTTCTAGTTGGCCACTATCTCGAACGGATACACCCCGTATATGCTGTTCTCAATCGTGATATGTTAGAGAAGAAGGTCGCCCTGCGCTGGGATGACGCGATCACCTTTGACAGCTATGATCCCGTTCTTTACGGTGTTGCAGCCTTGGGCTCCCTCTACTCCGGCGATAAAGGACATAGAAACGAAGAAGCGCTGGTCCACTGTGCAAAGGAAATCCTGGAAGCATCCTGCACTATGATCAAACCACTTATACACCATGCTACTGCATGGGTCTTACGGACCCTCTACCTCCGAAGCACCAGCGGTCCTCATACCTCATGGATGGCCAGCTGCTCTGCAATGCACATCATCGAAGCAGCAGGCGCGCATCAGGATCCAGGAATGGTCTCCCTGGTGTATTCCGATACGGCAGATGTTGGTGTCGATGAAGAGAGTCAGCGAAGGCTATTCTGGGTTGCGACGGTTCTAAATACGTGGATCTCTTATGAATATGGCAGGTCTCGCGTCATCTTACGAGGCATTTCGTGCAAGCCACCTGTGCCGCGAGCGGGAGATTTGACCGCGGAACTGGTCTCATTATTCCAGATTTCCGAACAGCTGGAACCTGATCAGAAAAATAGACCTTCAGACCTTGAAGATGTTATATATCACGTCGGAGGTCTAACCCTTACCCACGATGCCTTAGTCTTGTCCCAAGCTAATCTAGCATTTACGATATACCGCCGTCTCCGGGTGGCTGCTTCCAGCATTTCTAACGATGTCATAAACTGCATCATCCGGCTAGGTAGTGAAGGGACCGCTGCTGCAGTTCGTATGTCTGAGAAGCGTTCTCCCTGGTGGCATGTTGCCAACGTTCCTTTCCAGTTTCTCTGCATTTTGCTCGCAATCGATTCTAAAGAGTCATTGTCACACGTGAGCCACGCCATGCGCTCATTCAAGACCGTCGGGGTTCACTTTAGTACGCCTACTGTTCACGTCGCCATAGAGACCGTTGATTCCTTGATCAAGTTATTACAGAAGAAGAAAGAGCGGGAAATCACTCTCCTGAAGGATAGCACGCAGGATCAGGATTTAGGACTATTTGAACGAAACATATCATCCACGGAAGAGTACCGTTCACCATGGCAAGGGGGCTTTATTGATGAAGATAATGCAGAAAATATTGACTGGGATTGGAATGCTTTTTTCGATGCCGAAATATCACTTTTTGACGACAGGGGACATGGTGGGCAGATCCGGTATTGATGACGGTTATCGTGGCCGTGGCGCCCAGGATATAACCACCATATTTCCGCCTTCATAGTAGATTTATTACTATCAGGACATTACTATCATGCGTTGTTCTGGTAACCGCATGCGAACAACCTGCTTCAGATGGAGTCTAACGCTACTTTGCAAAGCGGAAGTGGAAAAGGCGGGTGGTGCGGAAGAGCGGACAAAGCGGATACTGCTGTACACATGGTATATCTGCAGGAAGAGCAACTCTGGCTGTTCATTTCAACATGCATGCTCTGTATTTACCTTTCAATTCCTCTTGCTTTCAACATGCAGTCCCTTCTTCAGTATCGACGTCTGCGCAGACATCTACACGAAAGCATCAAGATCCATGGCCCTGCTGCCGCTGGAGATCCTGGTTCACAACCGTCTGGAGACATCCTTGAAGACTTCCAAGATGCTCAGTTCGACAGGCAACTTATAAATACTGCTCCTATATCTTCTTATAATTCCGTCTCGCCGCAAGGAATGCCCAGGGTGGTGCTGCAGAACGGGCGAAGAGTGACTGTGCCAGGCGTTAGCATCCATTCTGCAACCGATGTTGAACATACCAATGGGAAGGCTATCTTTATAGTGGGATTCGACGGTCCAGACGACCCATTCAATCCGAAGAACTGGCCTGTGAGACAGAAGTGGACGACATTGGGTATAGTTGGCACAACGGGTTTTCTTGTGGGGTGGGCATCCTCCATCGACTCTGGAGTAATCAAACAGGGAGAAGAGGCGTTCAGGGTCAGTGAAGTGACTGAATCTCTTGCCACTGCGCTTTATCTGATCGCATTCGGATTTGGATCCCTTGTGGCGGCGCCTTTCTCGGAAACTGTGGGACGCAACCCCGTCTACCTAGTAACCTTGTCACTTCTTATGGTCTTTATCATGGCCTCTGGTCTATCTCCAAATCTAGGCGCCCAGTTGGCATTCCGGTTCATCGCTGGACTGTTCGGATGCACGCCGCTGACTACATTCGGCGGGAGTATGTCCGACATCTTCGATCTTTTAGATCGTACCTATGCCTTTCCGGTGTGCTGTGCGTTGTCTTTCTTGGGGCCTTTTCTCGCCCCGATGGTTGGTGCGTTCATTGGCCAAAGCCCGGATATCTCCTGGCGTTGGTCAGAGTGGACATCTCTGATACTCGCTGGCCTTATAACGGCCTTCATATTCTTCTTTGTACCCGAGACCTACGGGCCAGTACTTCTGCAATGGAAGGCTCGCCAACTACGCGCCATCACTGGCGACCCTCGTTTCATGGCCGAGATCGAATTGCGCCAAACTACCCTACCAATCCGGCTAATACATAGCTGCTCCCGCCCCTTCAAGTTTTTTTTCCAGGAGATTATGGTGGCCCTATTTACGATGTACTTAGTGGTCGTATACATCGTGCTTTTCGGCTTCCTGACAGGTTACGAATTCATATACGGTCGCACATATGGCTTTTCACAAGGATCAGTGGGACTGACGTATATTGGAATGAATGTGGGGTTTTTGATTGCACTCGCCATTGTTCCGCATGTCTACCTGTCTTATAAGAGACGGCTTCAAGCAGCCATCGCTAGCGGCCAACCCAGTCTACCACCCGAGGAGCGACTTTGGTTCGCCATGTATGGCGCACCGTGGCTTCCAATATCTCTTTTCTGGATGGGGTGGACCAGTTATCCGTCCGTCTCGTATTGGTCACCTCTAATCGCATCTGTGGCGTTCGGGTTTTCCGTGCAGGGCATTTTCATAAGCAGCTATCAGTATTTGATCGATACGTATGAGATATTCGCTGCTAGTGCTTTAGTGAGCGCGACATTCATGCGATATCTTGCCGCGGGAGCTATGGTCATTGTGTCTATTCCAATGTACACTAACCTGGGTGTTCATTGGTCGCTTACACTGCTGGGGTGTATCTCCCTGCTGATGACGCCGGTCCCGTATGTGTTCTACAGATTCGGACATGCTATTCGGCGAAGAAGCAAGACTGCTGCTGCGTAACAGACTTCCAACCATTGCTCTATGCTATGAGCCTCAAAGCTCCCGCATGATTGAACAAGGCCCGGGCATTCTCAACACCTACAGAGCATTAGAAAATTAGGATATCAGACGGCTATGGGAGATCTAGTAGATATTTTGGAAGTTAGAAGCTAGTAATTTCTTTTTCTTGTTCCTTCTTTCTTTATTTTCTTTTCTTTATTTCCTTTTCTTTTTTGACTTATATTTTCTTTTGTTTTTCTATATGATTTCTGACTGCATGTCTGCGCTCATACTACTAGTAATGCAACAGAAATGCGCAGTAACAAGAATGTCGATGGCCGATCGCAAAAATAAGAGCCGACCGACGGCCAATAAGTAGGCGGAGAACCTCAAGGGCAAGGAATTTGATTTGGCTATGCAGGGTCAAAAAAAAAAAAATTAGTAGCAAAGTGGTCTTTTTCTGTTATTCTAATACCAATCAATTTACGAGTGCTACAAAATTGTCGATTTATTGGGTTGAAGGGTGGCGGAATTAGGCTCTCGTCATTGCTTATGTTAAGCTTACCTTGTTTTGCTTTTTGTTTAACGCGCAAGCAGTTACTTCCTAACTAGTGTTTGGACTTTGAAGATCCCGCTGTCACCTATGTTAAGTATGGTCTCCTTATAGCTAATATTCTACTACCAAAGGGTCTGGTGTTGCTCCCCACAAGACTCGAGGCAAAAGCGGCACAACAAGAAATTCTGGAAAGAAGCCGTTTTCTGACGGGGACGAAAGTGGGACGCACTACTCTCTATTCTAAAAGTAGTAGCGATTAGCCTTCCCACTCTGGCATCGTTTTCGGCTGACACTTGCAGACTCGCCTATCACTTGTGCCTAAGATAACGATATCATTTGGTGTACCCATTGTGACACCCGGTTTAAAGTTCAGCGGTGAACCTGTCATGCAGCCAGCAACAGGAAAAGCTCAAGATGGACAGCACTGGGCTTGATAGCCAGCCGTGCTCGAGCAACTCTGGGCACGCGCTGGATCTTCGGATTCGTCGGATAAGAATCAAGGAGCCAGCCTGTGCAGCCGCTAACTCCTCCCCGGAAGGAGAAATCGTGATCCCTCACTCTGTGACAGCCACTAGTCAGCGAGTCTGTTGTGCTATAGCCTATCGCGGCCGCATATCCAATCGCCGGTTCACCAAGTGGAGCGAACCATCCCCAAACCCGGACTGGTTCTGCTTATCAAGCACCAAGATAACCATCCCTGGCTTGCTTATATCGGGGTCGCCGCCAGTTCATCATCCATCTCGCCATTGATTCATGCAACTCCTCCCACGATCATTCCGGAAGCAGACTAAGTATTACACTGAGGGTTGTCTTGGGTGGACTGCTATCGTCCAACCACATAAACATGGTTTACACAACGCTGTCTCCTCCACTGGACCTGTCGCATCATTTCTCCTCGGTCACGAAGAGACGGGAAGCGAGCGAAACAAAGAGCCTGTATAAGTATTTCTTCATCCCAGGCATTGCCAACTTGGCTGGTGGTACGTTTACTCATCTGCTTCTTGACCTTCTGGCTTTTGCTTCGGGCGATTCACGGCGGTTGCACTTGTGCCACTTTGTTGACCTCTTGCGACATCAGGCCTGCCAAATGCGTCATACTTCCCCTATGATACCCTCGAAGCTACCGTTGCCCATCCTCAGCGTTTCCCCGCGACCTCCGACAATGACCAGATCAAGCCCCCCCGTGGCTCCCCTTCAACCGAGCGCAGGATTGTCCCGAAAGAAAGCCCGACCACCAATCTTCTAAAGAAAATCGATCTTACCACAGCCCTTCAGTATGGAACAGCTGAAGGCCTCCCAGTTATGGCCGATTTCGTCCGCCAATTTACCCGCAACCACCTTCATCCGAATGTCCCCTATGCCGGCGGCCCTAACACCCTCCTCACGTGCGGTGCGACCGACGGATTCTCCAAGGCCATTGAAACCTTTACCAACCCCTGGGATCCTCGTCGGGACTGGATCAGCCAACGCGAGGGCATACTCTGCGAGGAATTCGTTTATATGAATGCAATCCAAACTGTGAAGCCGCGGGGCCTCAACATCGTTCCGGTAGCCATAGACGCGCAGGGCATGCTTGCGCATGGTAAGGGAGGGTTGGCCGACGTGCTCGAGAACTGGGATTTTAGAAAGGGCCGTCTTCCGCACCTGATGTACACAATCACGTAAGTTCCAACGATCTGTAGCAGAACTTCCTCTCAAGTTGGCTAAACTCGCCTTGTCTAACTGCAGTATCGGCCAAAACCCGACGGGCGGGACCTTGTCGGTCGAGCGCAGGCGGGAGATCTATGCTCTCTGTCGGCAATTTGACATCATCATCATAGAAGACGATCCGTACTGGAACTTGCAGTATCCGTCTGCAACTGCTATGGAGGCCGGATTTCGAGGATCAGATGCCGTAGATGTAATCCCACGCAATTACAACGCCCACGGCAGGTCCTCCGGGTACGATTTCTTGGATTCTTTGGTGCCGTCATATCTCTCTGTTGATACAGACGGGCGCGTTGTGCGTCTCGACACCTTCTCGAAGACCATAGCTCCTGGTTGTCGTTTAGGATGGATTACCGCCCAGCCGGCTGTAATCGAACGACTGACTCGTCTCACCGAGACATCAACTCAGCAGCCGTCGGGATTCGTACAGGCCATGGTGGCTGAACTAATTGTGGGCCAGCAATCCGAGGATGGCCAGAATGCCACAGACGCAAGTAAGAATAAGCCTAAAAAGAGCGAACAAGCCTGGCAGATGGACGGCTGGGTTCGCTGGCTGGAAGGTCTCCGTGCGGGATACGAACAGCGCATGCAGACAATGTGTACCATCCTCGAAGAGGGTAAGTATCTCATTGACTCCGATAGTGCCTGGGACGATGCACCACAACCTATGGCGGACGATGAGAATGCTTGGGAGGTCCTGGATAAGATGCAGATGTATGAGTTCTCCTGGCCCACTGGTGGTATGTTTGTGTGGGTCAAGGTCTGCATTGAGACGCACCCCTTGCTGGAGAAGTATGGCCCGGAGAGGCTGATCCAAGCTTTGTGGCTGCATTTGATGCAAAAGCCGTATTTGTGTCTCTCTGGTCCAGGGACCATGTTTGCTCCTACACAGGAGCTTCTGGGTCGAGCACAGGGATATTACAGGTTATGCTTTGCGGCGATGCCAGCCGAGGATGTGTTGGGCATTACCCGGAGGTTGGTGGATGGATTCCGTGCATTTTGGCAACGGAAGAATCTTGATGGCTTGGATGATGAGGAAGTTGCGCTTAGTAGGCTGCAGGCAAAGGGTTCAGGCAATTTGTTGGGTTTGGGCTGCTAGACTGGGTTACTTGAATCTATTATACACCATACTACTACATCCGTCATTCTGGATAGCGAATATAATATATTCATCGATTACGTTGGCGCATGAGCTTCACACCGACTGAATCATACTAGCGACGGAAATCACCTTTCAGACTCTGTATAGCAAAACAATTGAGAAACAGCATTGAAAGTACTACATATATTTCGAAACAAAGTTGGGATGCAGTGGTAAAGCACTGTCTTTGGGGAACCCAGACAGCGACGTCGACAAGGAATAGCAAGGTGCGGGAACCCCCCCGCAAAAAAAAAAACAAAAAACGACCCCACTGGGACTCGAACCCAGAATCTTCAGTACCGAAAACTGACGCCCTACCATTGAGCTATAGAGCCAATTCTACAATAACTTTGGTTCAGCTAAGATACACATCATCATAAAATATCGGAACAAATCCGCTCCATCACAGAGATAACCGTCATCGTCCTGGCGCAATGCGCGATAATCTTAAAACCCCGCGGCATCAAGCCACCCATCACCACCGCCGTCGCCGCCCCGGGCTGCCCAGCCTTTACCAATTCCGCAAAGATGGATCCGGCGCTCGAATCCCTACAGAATACCGATCTGGCAGATGAAATTGAAGCCATCAATGCCATTTACGAACCGGACACCCTCACCATCACGAACACCTCTACCTCTACCTCAACCGGGCCCTCAACTCTCGACCTAGGGGGACCCGGCTCTTTAGAATCTTCTCCTCCTTCAATAACAATAAAGCTCCAACTCCCAGAACACCCCCACCTGTCTTTCCTCCTCGGCTTCGACTCAACATATCCCGACACCCCTCCCAAAATCCTAGGAACAGCATCCACGGCCTCACGCGGAGAAGGCAAGCTCGCCGTCGATGTACTAGAGGACATACTCAGCCGCACATACCAACCGGGCGCGGTATGTCTATTCGACCTGATCAATGAAGCAGTTCAGGCGTTCACGGAGCTCAACATCGGCGGTAGCGCTACAGCCACCACCAACAACCATGACACAACCTCCCACACCCAACCAGCCTCCGAAGAAACAACCACCGAAAACGACAGCTATCAGTCGCTAACCACAGGATCAAATACTCCCGACTACCATAAATTCAACCTCACCAGCCCACCACTATGGATTCTCTCCGATGTCATCACGGAAAAGAAATCCGTCTTCGTTGGGCGCGCCGCCTACGTCACGAGTCTGGATCAGGCAAAGGCGTTTCTGGATCATCTGCTCGCAACCGAAAAGAAGGTCGCATCCGCGACGCATAATATCAGTGCGTGGAGGATTCGCGAGGTGAAATCATCTACTTCTACTGCTGGCGGTAGTGGTAATAAGAATGGTGAAGCTACGGAGATGATTGTGCAGGATTGCGATGATGATGGGGAAACGGCTGCTGGCGGTCGACTACTGCATTTGATGCAATTGATGGATGTTTGGGATGTGGTGGTTGTGGTGACGAGATGGTATGGGGGTGTGTTGTTGGGGCCAGATCGGTTTCGCATTATCAATGCCGCGGGGAGGGATGCGTTGGTGAAGGGGGGTTTTGTGAAAGAAAAGACGTCTGGGGAGAAGGGGAAGAAGAAGGGAAAGAAATGATTGATGCATGGTTGGTGAGGATGCGTGCTATGGTTTGTGATCTGGGTACGTAGTATGGTTTGAGCCACCTGCGTGGTGTATTCTCATTGTCAGAAGCATGATGGTCCGCGGAGGTTGGGGATATCATTGACTTCTTGGACTGTCCTGCATGCGTCCAGTTAGTGATGTGCGCTGTTGATGAGTCCTATGGTCTGAGCCGATCGATACCCTTGGATAGCGATGGCCTGCGTACTCGTACATCTGGGCTTGTGGCTCGCAGTTGCGAGGTTGGCGTCTTCGCAAATGGGATGATTGGATTTACTACGTGTCTATGGTAAGGGCGAGCGAGCCATGGGCTCGAATGACCATGATAGAGGAGATGTCACCCTGGAAGGAAGTAAGAATGAAAAACCTTCCAGTTGGAGGAGCTGGGAGAACTGGCTACCGTTTAGGAAACAAGATGTCTATATAAGAGGGAACTATAGAATATCCTGATGACAGCTATGCAACGTCACGCTGCAGAGAGATGAGTATATAGTGGTCTTTACTTCTACATCATATACCTTATGTACCCGCGCCTTCCCGTTTCGGTCTGTACTGGTGGCATATTTCTTATTTGGTGGCTGTACTCCCCACTAGTAGTATATTTGGCCTTTGTCCCTTCCTCTCATTCTCTTTTCTTCCCCCACACTTTGCTTCCACTGTATCTGCTCGCTAGCTTCCTTCACCATCAAGAACGCGTCCCATATTGCAATAGCATTACCTTACTCGTCGATGTCTCATGCATGATCGCCAATTGGAAGAAGAGTATTACATTCTGATATTAATACTAGTATGTGTTTACTAATCCTATCACATGTGAATCATAATCCATGGACATAGGAATGTCCCTGCTAAGTTTTTGCCACCTAAACAGATTCCTTTCCTATCTTTCAGAGGTAAACAGAGGTAATCAGAGAAGACGCCTCTGGCTTCCATCAAAGCATTCCACGCTCATTCAATGCCGCCCGGAGAATCTTATGCAATGCAAAGACATTTTCTTCTGCCATCATCGTGTGATGGGAGCCAGGAACATCATGGAACCTGACCGACTTGGAATGCTCTTTCCACCTCATGAGGTGCTGCTTGAGCCAGACATCCTTGTCTCGACCAACAGAAAGCAGTGGGATGGCGTAGAAGACATCCATTGACTGCACAGTTCCAGAAGGATCATATGTATGGGCTAGCTCCTGGAGCTTCGACGACAGCATAGCCCAATCTCGAATTTTTCCTTCATCCATGGCCAGCTCCTGGACGCGCTCTTTATCCGAGACTTTCATGATGGCTGGAAGGACCTCGCTTTGAGGGAGCTAGAAGTGATGAACAACGTCAGTCCTAGTCGAACACACTGACATTACCCCAATGGAGATGGCTCACCTTGTGCATATCCGGGGACATGCGATGGGCATCCTCTTCGGTGATGAACCCAAGGAAGTATACGAGATGAAGCAGCGACTCGGCATAATCCATCTCTCGGATGTGCTTTTTGATATGTGGCGGAAGGTTAAGACTGCCGAGGAAGCCGACTCTATCGCCAGAAGCTTCGACCTTTTTGGCGGTTTCAAAAGCAATCATGGCACCGTACGAATACCCGATGAAAATGTACGGTCCTTCCGGCTGGAGCTCTCGGATGGACTTGAGATAGGTGCTAGTATGTTGATCAGTTATAGGGTTTCTCTGACGGGACGGTCTAAGTCTTACTCTGTCATTTCGTCGATAGTGGTAAACATCTTTTCACCTGGATTGAAACCCGGGGCTCGAAAAGCGTACACTTTTCGGTCAGCAAAGTACTTGCTAAAGTTGAGGAACACAAGAACTTCGCCCATTCCGGGATGGAAGAAGAAGATCGGAGGGGCCTTCGATGGGCCATCTTGCAGCTGCACAATCGGATTATATGGCTTGGGACCTTTCTGAAGATCTTGTAGCATGACTGCCAATGCTTCAATGGTCGGGTTTTGCAGAATCGTGATCATTGGGATTTCCTCGCTTAGGCCGAGACGGGTCTCCACGATCCTCTTGTATCGAATCAACCGGACGCTATTCACTCCCATATCATAAAGGCTGTCGTCCACACCAACTTCGGACACATCAAGGTCGAATTCGTCCGCGAAAATCCCAGCAAGCGTCTCTTCCATGCTGTTCTGCGGGGCACGCTTGGATCGCGCACGATACGCGGACGCTCTTTGTGCGGCAAGATCTCTATATGTGTTGAAGCGACCTTCCTCATACTGCGACTTGAGCTTTGTGCGAGGGAGTTTTCCCAGGGAATTTTTGGGAAGCAGCTCTACCGGGAGTGGTATGATGTCCACCGGCTGCTTGGAGCAGTAAAGAGCAGTGATCCTGGAGATCGAGTTGAGAGTTTCAAGGAAGATTCTGTCGTCCTCAGTGCCTTTCTGGCTTGACAGGTATAGGACAATGATATCTTCACTGTCCGCATTATCAAGCCAGGATGAGACCACCACCGTATAAGAGGGGACAAGTCCTTCCAGCCCGGCAGAGTCTATGGCATTCTCCAGCTCGTGGGAATAAAAGTTGATGCCATTGATGATGATACTGTCCTTGGATCGTCCGGAAAGCACAAGGTTATCCCTGTTGTCGATGTATCCGGTGTCGCCAGTCTTGAACCAACCGTCCTCGGTAAAGGCAGCCTTGGTGTTTTTGTCGTCATTGTAATAGCCCTTGAATACCATGGGCCCATGCAACTCCAGGTTTCCATTTTCACCGCTTCTCACTGTTTCCCCATGTTCGTCGGTGATCCGCATCTGCAGAGTAGGTGTTGTTTGCCCCACAGAGCAGAATTGCAGCTTAGCCTTTTGCTCGAGCTCGGGGAAGCTGTAATGATAGTGGATACCTGCGCATGTCTACCAAAACGCCATATCATTAACAGGTCTGGTGCGCCCAAATAGTTCGTCAGACGACGCAGCTTACCTCTGTCATACCAAAAGACGGATGGAGAACATTCTTGGCGGCTCCCATTTCGACCAACTTGCGGTTGAATAAGATGCTCGTCGATGCGAGATTGGCTTCACCACCTGAGAGTACCATGCGCAAATGACTCAAATCCAGATCAAGTGAACGAGGATCCCGCTCCTGCTGGGCCTCGATGGCCTTTCCTACCAGGGCTACAAGGAAGTTAGGGGCAAAAGCGTTGGTGACAGAATACTCTGCCATCTTTTCCAGATAAAGAAGAGGGTTCTCCAGAACCGTCACGGCTGGGAGATGAATTTGATGGCAACCCCTGGATAATGCGTGCATGTGCATTTCCATGAAACAGGCAACATGATCAAACCCTGCGACAATGTGTTAGCTGCACCTGTATGGCCCGGGAGCTATAAGAGTCATTTTCACCAATCCAGTTCAGAAAAATGTTTTCTGGAGTGCTTGCTAGTGCCTTCCATTTGGCCTCAATTGCGGCGAAGATTTGTGAATGGTGCAACATCACCGCTTTGGCGTTGCCCGTACTGCCGGAGGTGAGCAGTAGCAGCGCAAGGTCTGACGAAGGACTCGCAGGTTCATAGTCTGCGGATTGATCTGCATTCGAGGCCAGATCCTCGATAAAGAACTTTTGAGACTCATCGATAATATTCAGGTCATCTGTATGCTTGATACTGGTGAGGACATTGGGTCGCTCTAGGAGCCTCTGAAGGTGGGTTAAATGCCGCTCCCGAGCCACTGGGTCTACAGCCAGAGGAGTAGACACAGCTGGGATGGCTCCGGCTGCAATGGCAGACCAGAACCAAATGATGTTCTCCTTGTGAGTGTCAAAATGGACCAGGAGAATCCGGTCAGGCACCGCGATCTTTTGTTCAACCAACATTTGAGCATTACGCTGAAGATGATGCAGTTAGCAAAGCAAACATGAAACCACCTGCTGGGACTCCATGGTTCTGAGGCGGGAGGATGTTACCTTGACGAGGCGCCAAAAATCGGGATAAAGGACCGTCTCCGGTTGGTCCTTACCAACACTATAGAAGACGAAGCCTTTAGACGGCGAATACTCGGCCGCCTGCTCCAGATATGTCAGGATTCCAGACGCCATTTGGAGCGATGAAAAGTGCCAATGATTCTGTGATTCACTTGGACCCTAACCAGTACAATGCCGGCGTGAGAGGCCATCTGTTGAGATTGAGCCGGATGGCCCTAGCCTTTATAAATTGCTGGTTATTGCTCGTATTCTCGATAGATGAGCTCTACAGCCATTGCGATTTTAGGTGGAGTGATACCTAGCACTATCGCTCGAGATATGAGTCATGACGACATGAAGATTCATGAAAATTTACTGTGGAGCCGTTGATACGGACCCCCCTGCCTGGTTGGGTATGTAGTACAAGATCTGGAGACAAAGTCAGGAAATATCTCCACAGCTCTCACAAAAACTATTGTTCCTTGGCAGCTTTGTGTGTGGTGCTAATGTATGTTGATCAACAGGCTCAGTTTCCCCAATAGTCACTTGGGTTGTATCACTGTGAGGTAAAGTGCGATAAGGTCAGTGGAGATCTCTAAGGCCCACACGGCATTGTCCTGATGTGATTGCCTACGCCCGGAAACGGAAAGGGCACAAACAAAGCGGATAATCGGCAACGCCTTTCAGCTCGCCGACTATGCTCACCGCGCTCTAGCCGTTGGTCTAGAACGGACAGCACTTGCCTGCAAAGTCCATGACACCTATGCTTGCTCAGATCCCCAATAGCTACTGCTTGACACATGTCGGTCACCCGTGGTCTCGTCTCATTGCCAAGCCATCTGCCGTGACAACCATTAGGAGTTAAGACAATCTTCCGCGGAATCCCAAACGCCAAGGAGTTCGAAGAACACTTTAATACCTAGTCATCGAGATAGTGACAGTCCGTGGAGTTTCTAGAGTCGCCTTTACAGCAACTGTTAGCACGGTTGCCACGACGAAACGGAAGCTTTTTCGGATGCAACATCGGGATTTAACAAACAATGAGTCAACAGATCTGGCCTTGCTGGATCTATCGTTTTCGGAATCTAGTTCCACAGAGAGTTGAGACCTCCCCGGCCCTCCCCCCGGTGTGAGGATGCATTGCCGTCTGATTAAATAGCTCTTATTTTTTTGGGGAAACATAGGCTTCTCCTCTGTATTGGTGATTTCTATTGATATTAACGGCACTAGTCTATCCTAACGATTGAAGGCACTCTGCAGAATGCTTGTGATATACGCAATTCCCTCCGCCCTATAAGTATCCGGCTCAACATAAGCCAGCCCAGTTACATTGGCATCAAAAACCATATTATGCGGGTTTTCTGCCGTGTAGACAGGCCAGTGGACATTCGTCACTACAGAACAGCATGTCAGCATCTCTTCGTACTCTCAACCTCTCAAAGTAGTATCTAGAGGTAGGTGGGGCATCACTCACTATTACTATAATTTGGATCCAAATGATTAATAAAGCTCACCCACATCCGTGACATCATAGTCGATATCTGTGGCCAGATCACGCTGTCATTTCCCCGTTCATCACCCAGACTATCAATGTTATGGAAAGTGAACGGGATTTCATAGCCATGCGCTGCTCCGTCTAATGGCCCCAGTGTCATCACGTTCCAGTGATACACGTAGGTAGGTACATTCCAGCGCGCCAGCGACTGGGTTGTCACACGGCGAGGCGCGTGCATGAGAAGGTCCCCGAGGAAAGCAGCTACACGCTTCCACTGGTAACCGTATGACGGTGGGGGACGGCCATGAAGGGTCCCCGGGATACCAACGGCTGGGTTATCTGGGTACAAGGATGCAATGGTGAGAGCGCTGGTATAATTGGTTCCGTTGGCTTGGACGAGGGAGATGAATTGGTCGGTGGTGTTGTATCCGTGAGGGGCGTACTTGGTCCCTTCGTCGAAGTTGGTGCCAATAAGAAGCGGGGTTTTAGCAAATTGGCCAGTCTGGAGGTTAACGATTCCAGAGGCTCTAAGGAAATCGCCGTCAATGACGGGATGATATCCAGCCCCAGCGACGAGGGAGCTGTTGAAGATGGAGCTCAGGACGTTGGTGGGAACTTCACGGAGACAGGTAAGTGTGTTTAACGCGCCGGTGCAGTTAGTTGCGTTGACGACGGCATCATAGTAGGGTTGTGCTTCTGAAGCATTCATGTATGCTGCGAGGGAGGGCACGGAGCCGCTCTCGGCAATTCCAGCACGGAAGATGCCATCATTCTGGCCGTCGTATGCCACTAAATGAAGACCGACGCTATTGGCGCCAGCACTTTGGCCCCAGATAGTGAGCCGCGACGGATCTCCGCCAAAGGAAGCGATATTCTCCTGGAGCCAGTACAGTGCGTGCCGTTGGTCACGGAGTCCTAAGTTGGCGGAGCCTTCATCAGCGACTTCCTGGCTGTAGAGGAAGCCCCATCCCGAAAGGCGGTAGTTGACAGTGACCCCAATGATGGGAGCTTGCATCTCTTGAGACTGTTGAACGATGTAAGAGAGGTTATAACGGGAGTCGCGAGTGCCTCCTTCCGCAAACTCTCCACCATGCATCCAGAAGACGACGGGCAGATTCGCGCCTGAGTCGATGCCATGAGGTCGGATCACACTGAGAGCAAGACAGTCTTCCGACACCACGTCCGTCCAGTACCAGTCATCACTGCCGTACCCAATACATTCATTGTAGTATTCTGTTGCGTTTCGAGTACCGGACCAGCTGGTGTTGAGCGGTTGTGGTGGACGGAAGCGAAGCTCACCGACCGGAGGCTGCGCATATGGTATGCCGAGGAACAAGTCCTGATCGTACGTGGGATTGTAGACACCCTCGTACGTGCCATTGCGGACTTGCACGGTAGGAGCGGATGTCGGTGTGTGGGCATCTTGTGTAGAAGCGAGCGTGGGCAGTAATGCGGCGGCCACAATTAGCGGCAAGAAGACAGAGGAAGCCATATCGACGGACTGACTGGCTACCTTGTCAAAGATCCAGGGGGGGAAGAGGTCGTCGGTTTAGAGCATAAGTAATGAGAAAGCCAAGGCATTATTACAACCTTGATCAATCCGACTTCCAGGCTATACATACAGTATGTAGCATTGTGCATACTGTTTTCGACTTCCTTATTGAGATTACGGATTATGACAGTTCATATCGGTGAAGCTGAAAACAGACAATGGACCCTCCCCCCGCGGGACAATGTACGGTAACTGTGCTGAGGAGCTATTGATTCAGACCGCCCTTAATTTCAGACCGTAGTACGTAGTGAGTGAGGAGTGAGAGTTTCCTCTCCAATGAGCTCAAATTCTACGGATGGGCCAAGAATGAAGGAAGGATTGAGACAGTAGCAACGGAGGGTATAGCATAGCAATCCCCCAGGGCCCCTAAGGGTAAACTGTCTCAATGTGGAATCTGTCATCCTCCGCGGAATGAACTAACACTTATGCGGGATGCTATCTTTGTGACTTCTCGTTGAGCTGATATCTTTTTTTTTTTTTTTTTTTTTTTTTTTTTTTTTTTTTT